ATTAAATTATTTATATAATTAAAAACTATTTAATAATTAGCAGACTTTGTAGACGTCTGCAGTCTCATTCTTCCTGTTTCATTTAATGAACAGCTAAAAAAATAAATTTCAAGCATCTATCTTTCAAAATGACGATATTTCATACTACCCTTCATCTCCCTTACAACCCTTTTTCTTTATTTATGTTCAATCTATAGGCTAAAAACTAAGGTTCAAGCTTCTAGCTTTTAAAATAACAATACTTTTATAAAAAAATTATCTACCCTTTCAATCCCTTACAACCCTTTTTTTTAATTAAAAAGTAGCCTATGACAGACAGAGTTACTTTCGTATTAGTAAGGATGAGATCTTTAAAAATATGTATTTTTTATATTAAACTAGCTACTGGCCCCGGCTTCACACGGGTGTACATGTATTAATATATAAACTTTCCTCTTGAATCACTATATCTATTTAAAAAAACCGCATCAAAATCTGTTGCTTAGTTTTAAAGATTTAAGCATACATAGGGAGGGACAGACAGCGACAGCGACTTTATTTTATACTATGTAATGATAAATATGTATTTCTTTTTCAGTTTAACGAGCTGAATTCCATTTCTGGAAAAATAAATGTAAGTCTTCTACATTTTTCATCGAGGTGATGGTAATTCATAACTTAGTAGATAAATTAAATGATTTCACGAATTCTGATGTGTAAGTAGCACTAATAAATGAATGACGACTGAGGCTTTGAAGCCGGCTACCGCAATGGAAACCCCAAGTAGCGCCCGTGACTTGTGACACGGGTGTAGGTTTAAAAGGCCCTTTTAGAATGCATTAACACTCACCTTCACTACTTGCAGCTTCCCCCAGGCCCAATTAAGACCGGGATAAACCCATTCCTAATACTATTCACTTTATTATCCAAAACACAACCAGCACGCTCTGCGCTCGTCGACTGAATGCCGCGGCTCACCCAACGAAAGACGATTATTCGTATTTATAGACCAAAGTCAGTGTAATAAGTCGGTCTATAAATAATAGATGGCGCTATTTACAATAATTGTAATAATCTTTACATTGAGTACTTCATTAGTACTAAACACAAACTACCTTATTTTAATATCTTTTTAAAATATCGGATTTTTTCTACAATGTTGATGTGAACCCTAACAGATGTCTACTCTATACTGTAAATAATAGGAGATAAAACATCAAATTGCCGTTCTGTACTAATAAATACTTTGAATTGACATAAAACCTTCATGGTGTGCCATTTTCGACTTACGAATTAACAAAAAATGTTTATATGGTTAATTTATATGCGGTCAAAGTAAGAACGACGGGTATACTAGTGAAATCTCTCTACAATCTTCTTAAAGTTTTTGGCCTGTCTGGACATCGGCTCCTATCAGATTAGGGTAGACAGGGAGAGAAACTCGAACGTGACGGTAAGGTTTGACGTACGTCAGCTAACTTTCTCCTAACCTTTAACCTAAACCCAGGTCACAACGGCCAGGAACTTCCCGGAGTTTCCCTCTCTGCCGCATGATGGACCCGGCTCCCTCATGGTCATTTCATGGAATGCTAGGAATACCGTCTCATATTACACTCAGAATTTAAGATCTCTTCCCACCCTTGTCTACTCAACGTCACTCTATATCTGCCTTCCATAATGGATATATAATTAATGTATGGATAGCCCATTTTTTTTTATTGGATTGTTTTGGCTATTGTCAGATGTTTGTAGCACCTGTAGCACTGCGACCTACATAGATCTATTGTGCTCGCCCTTTTTCTAAGTTCGCTGCCTAGACCCGTCAGGGACAAGAATTGAAAGATATTCTTAGGTGCGATGGTTTTTATCTCCTCGGGAAAGAGTGTAAACTTTATAAAAGAGATATTTCGACTATGCATGAGTGGGCTACAAACACATAGGATGTGTAGTGGCGTTTCCTCTTCAGTTGGGCAGAATCTGCAGATTTTTGTCGTGCAGGATAGCCCATACTAATCTTACAAAATAGTTCTAAATACGATTTTATTAAGATTATGTTTTTGTTTACTAGTAGCAGCAATAAGAAAATATTAAGCAGCCTATATTGTTTACAGCTAGAATATTTGAATGGCGTTTCCGACTACAATTCCGTGAGCAAATACTTGAAAGAGGTAAGAAATATGTTTAAATTTATTTATACAATAATATGTATATTTGATATAAAATATATATTCAGAGTACCTCAGTCTCATATATTTTAGCCGACAAGCAACCTGCTTTGTATGATGAAGTTAAAGTTAAGTTAAGTGGCAGTTATTAAAGTATAAAACGTTTGAACCCTCATGAATGACAATGTTTCAGTTTGTTGTTATTTTCTAATTCCAATTAGATAATAAGGTACATACATACATTAGGATAGTGATGGAGTGTTATTTCTCTCTATTGTAAAATACTGATATATATTTTTTAAACAATAATATCTATAGAAATATGGTGGGTAACACATCATTTACTGGTATTTTAGGGATTACAGTAATTGAAACACTGTCTAGCCTTTTTGCTCGGTCGGCTTTTACTCCATGAAGGAAGATGCAAGACAGAACCGTGCTCTTATTGAATATCTTACCGTAGATAACAACATTTCATAGATATATACCAAAGATAACAATGTTCCACAGATACATATATTTTTCGGATGCTTATCACTATAACTTTACAATATCCGCACTGAATGCAATTATATCGTTCTGTATTTCTGCCTTCAAACAGTTGTTGTCATTTTGCTTACGTGACAGGCTTTTGTAGGTACTGTAAGCGTCAATGAGCTGCCTTAATTTATAAGCAAAGAGCTATTTACATGTACTGAAGAAATATTATTGGGAAATATTTTGTTTTCTCAATTAAATTTATGCTACCAAGACTTGAAATTGATATATAATGTATATATTCAGTCGAATTAGCTGTTAGACTAGAGTAGTAGTGGCATTTGATCGCCATTAGAGAAGGTCGTGACGGTAATCAAGTTTCCACACCGAATATTTGTGGTCTCATACTAATTGTAGCAGAATTAAACAAAATATAAATCAATTTTGAATTCGAACACAAAAACTATTGCCATTCACGGCATGGCAATAGTTTCATGTTCGGGACTTTCATTTAATGTTAGACATAGACACCTATATAAATACCTATGCATTGTAAATAAACTGGCTTTAAAAAAAAGTAATTCAATTGAGTTTCTTGCCAGTTCTTCTCAATTGCATCCATATACCGAACTGGACGGTAGGGAAAAAAATTATAATGTAAAAACTTGACGTTCATAAGCGGCTAAAATGTCCTACATGAATAAATAATTTTTGAATTTGAATTAAGTTGTAATATATAACGGACTACATTAGTACATTGTTTTTTTATTTCTCACTTAATTTCAATGGGAAAGTAATAATTTTACCATTATTTTTGACTTTTCAGGTGGATCTGTATATATTGGACAATTTTGAGATAAGGATTTTTAAGTATGAATTATTGAGATTAATATCAAGAAATGCCTGTCAATTAGGACCAAATTTAGGACTGGTTTTGTGGTCGACAGATGCTGTAGTTGCCTTTGCAGGGTATTTATACGCCGACGAGGAATATTTAGCACTGGATTTCACGACATACAATATTACATTCACACGAAGTACGTCTTTATAGTAACTATGTTAATATATGCATCATTTGTATCTGATACTCGCGTGGCCCAAGAAATAATCAAATACCTGTAATGGAATATTTCACAAACAGTTCACACCGTTTTTATAACTTATATTATACTAGCTGTCGCGGCAAATGTTGTTTTGCCATATAAATTAATAACGCTATAAAAAAAAAGGGTTAGTGATAGAAGGGTGAAAATTTAGGGTTGTATGTATTTTTTAATGACACAATATAAAAATATAAATAAAAAATTTTGCTCAAAAAATAAAAAATATATAGTAGGGGTGGACATCCCTTACCATTTAGGGATATGAAAAATAGATAGTAGCCGATTCTCAGATCTATTGAATATGCATATTAAAATCCATAAAAATCGATCAAGCGGTTTGGGAAGAGTATGGTAACTAACATTGTGGCACGAGAATTTTATATACATATAAGATATACCAAAGGAATATATAAATTTAAAACATCAGTTAAGTCCATATGACTTGAGCAAAGCCTATTATTCACTAAACGATTACTTAAATAACAAACGTGCAATAGTTGCTAATGCACGGGAAGTTCAATTAATATTAGACATAAACACTTACATAGTGTAAATAATATGACTTTTAAAAAAAATAAAATTAGTTGAGTTTGTTGCCAGTTCTTCTCAGTTGAATATATATACTGAACTGGACGGTATGGAAAAATATTGATACAAGGAACTTGACGTTCATAAGTGGCTAAAATGTTCTACATTAATAAATTATTTTTGATGTGATTTGATTTGATATACTATATTTAAAACAGTATATATTAAAAAACTCACAAATGCACTATTCAATTTCGCTCCAAAATCTTTATTCACTTTTATAGGTTATTAGCTTTTGCCCGTGGCTTCACTCGCGTTAATTTATCCCCTTAGGGGTGGAATTTATCAAAATCCTTTCTTAGGGTATACCTACGTCATAGTAGCTTTATGCATGCGAACTCTCAGCCCGATCGGTTTAAAATTGACAAAGTTTCATACAAACTTTCAACCCCTGTTTTATCCCCTTGGGGGTAGAATTACTCAAAATGCGTACGTCACGCATCCGCTAAGAAAGTTTAAGCATTAATTTATCCCGTTAGTGGTGGAATTTATCAAAATCCTTTGTATGGGGATGCTTACGTCATAACAGCTACCTGCATGCCAAATTTCAGCCCGATCCGTCCAATGGTTTGGGATGTGCGTTGATAGATCACTATGTCAGTCAGTCAGTCAGTCAGTCACCTTTGAGTTATATATATTTAGATGAAGTAATTTCATTCGTGTACTTTATTTCTCAGGTAATATAACCATGGATTGCCTCAACATGGGGCCGTATCAGCGTCTTTATCAATTTGAAAATATTGCGGAAGATGTTTTTCTCGTCGGATACATTGTAAACCACAATGGAAAAATGGTGGAGTTAATGTTTTACTTCAAAGATGATGACTGTTCATTACCTTACCCTGTAACGACACGTACCCTCACGTCTCGCAGTGAAGTAAGTTTATTATCAAGTACCAGTAGGTTGTTGAAATAATAGTGAAAAAAACTGGTGTTACAAATTATAAAGTATTTATTTATTTAAACTCTATTGCACCAGACAAAGATACACACAAAATGATATATTACGTAAATTGATACAAAACGCGGTCTTATCGCTAAGCAATCTCTTCCAGACTACCAGTAGAGAAAGTAACATTTATTGTACATATGAACCTTCCTCTTGAATCACTCTTATCTATTAAAAAAATCCGCTTCAAAATCCGCTGCGTAGATTTAAAGATTTAAGCATACATACATTGGGACGGACAGACAGCGACAGCGATTTTGTTTTATACTATGTAATAATGACTAGCTACTCGCCCCGGATTCGCACGGGTGTGCATGTATTATATATATAAAGCTTCCTCTAGAATCACTCTATCTATTAGAAAAACCGTTGCGTAGTTTTAAAGATTTAAGCATACATAGTGACAGACAGCGACAACTACTTTATTTTATACTATGTAATGAAGATTGTGGATATTTTTACTGGTTTATATTTACATTTATATAGTAGTTCATTCTATACCTTTTTATTACAGTTCCTTGTTAAACTACTTTTAAACTTGATTTTTTAGCAATAGAAAGATAATCTATGAACTCATTTTCTAGTCGAATATTTGTAAGATTTTTAATCGAATATTTATAATAGGGGATTTAACCAACTTATAGCGGGATTATATGTATTTAATTTATTTGTATTTGTATACAATTGTTTTGTATTGGAGGTACTAGTTTAGATACACCTGAAACGCAATCGTTAGGGTGAGATATGAATAGAATAGAATAGAATAGAATAGAATAGAATAGAATAGAAAATCATTTATTCAAATAAACTTACATTGAAGCACTTTTGAATAGTCATTACATTTTTTAATCTACCGCTCGTTCGAAAAGCTGTCTCATCACAAGAAGAACGAGCAAGAAACTTGCGTGTTGCTCTTTTAAATAATTTTATTATTACTTTACATTTTTAAGTTTAAGTGTGTGAATACAAACCACCAATTAGCACTAATTCTATTAAATACTCAAATAGAAAAAATATTGAATATATAACCAACTGGTTAAACAATTAATAAGAGGAAATCAGTCATAGTGATTAGAGCAGACCAGTCCCTACAAGCAGCACCCGTTCACGAGTATGACGGATGAGCCAGCCATCACTGCGCTCGACCATATTTTAGGGAGCCCAATGACCCGGCCCACCACGCCGCCACAAGTCTGGACATTTTAGCATGGTAGCAGTACAGGGTATAACATCTTCGGCCTCGAACATTTCAATTAGGCGTACCACCACATGATGGATGCTAGTGATACTGTTCCCATATACAGTTACAACTTCAAATAGGCCGTCAATTTTGTTTGCCAATGTATTATAGTTACAAAACCTTTTTGGTTTCAGCGTGAATGCGCAGCCCTGTTCAGTGATGAGGTAGCAATCCAGGTAAAGTATGCAGTACTGTAGCCCATTAGATATGTTTGTAGCACCGCAGATAGGTGGCCTTCAAGCTATATATATATATATATTATTTTATATATTTATTTAGAATCAAAAACAGGTTCACAATTAGAAAACTTATTTACAAACTTTTTTACATTTTCTATTTTATTATAAACACAACATGCATGATCACAAATTATATTAATGTATTGAGATATGTGGATCGCATGCAAACTAATATATTTTCTACTTATAATTATGATTGCTGTATATATATGTAGTAGGTTGAATGAGGAAGTGTTACTATAGACACGAAGAAAATTGCATTTGTATGTGTGAAAGTATGTTTGTACATATGTGTGTAGTGTGTGTGAGTGTGTACATAATGCAGAAGAGAATTGCATGACTGATGTATAGAATTGAAGCAGTGCAACCAGCCTGAACATTATAGCATATATATGTAAATATATCGGATTGTCCGCTGCAGAGGCACTGGACATCATTGCACTGCTGCAGACGCAGTGCATCTGGACGTGGACATAGATATATGAATTGAAATAATAAGAATATATATATATGCAATCCGAAATAAATTAATAAATAGCAGCTAATATAGGGTTGCCAACTTTTATTAGGAATCAGATATTATCTCTTAAGTTTATCTGATTTCAAAGGAGGTGAATACTTAGATGACGACTTATAAAAAGACTATTATTTCTTTTATATTTTTACATTGACGTAAGGACAGACAGAGATATTATTATTGTTATTGAACGGTGGATTTGATAGTGAAATGGCAAGTGAGGTGGCATAGCATCTTAATTTTCAGACATAGCAACATATTCATAGTACAACACACTCATACCCCACAACGCCATCTTGTTAGCCATTACAATTGTATACACCTAGCTATCTATATTAATATTAAAATATATATTTTAATTAATTAATTAATATTTATTAACATACGAAATGGATTGCAGCAAAAATATCTGAACCACGAATTAGATAAATCTTTAGAAACTGAAGTACCGATTTGGAAAATGAAAAAAATTGTTCGCGAGGTAAATATGAATACTGTATTTTTTTTTAATGGATGACAATGGAATGGTGCAGCCCCCTGCGCTAACGGTTTTCGCTGGCGGGGCACCAGTGGAGGGTGATAGGATGAACATGAGGTCAGGTCAGTTAGCCCATCGTGACAAATTCACCAGGAATTCATCAGGATGGTTTCCAGGGGGATCCGCGTGGAGGTGGAGGTGGTAGAGTCATGAATCCACATTACTACCAATCACTTTCCCCCTGTATATTGTATTAAATTTTTTTTACAAATTTGACGACGATCATTGTGTAGATGTTACTTCAACACACCGTTACTTCTTCAAATAGTGGTCGTGTAGATCAGGACAATTCAAATTTGATTGAAATTATGTATGCTGAGAGAAAAAAAACCATAAGAGTAATTTCATTTTTGGATGTAAAAAATTATTATTTTATGTTTATTTTTAATTATGATAAATTAAGTTTAATTATATGTACATTTTATTTGCTCTTTTTTTTTCGTTTGTTGTTTACTTGTATTGTATTTTTTACATTGCACTGAATAAAATATTTTTCTTTCTTTCTTTCATATGAATTTTTTTCGGGGACTAAAATGTACTAATTCAGTTAAGAAAATTTGTGATTAAACAAATATCCATCGATTATATATCGATAGTGAAATTTGACACTGTGTTACCAAAATCGTTACAGTATTTACATCAAAGAATAGTAAAGATCAGTTGATGATATGACAAATACACAACTATTTCATATGAATGTCAAATTCTTAGGAGATATGACGAATTCAATTTTTTTTTTAATTATTTATAACTATATAGCGGAGCTAACAGACAGTTTTTATACGAGAAATACGAGGTGGCGCAAAACATTCCTTTAAAACTCCTTGATAACGAAACAATCGTTGTGTACTCTTAACACACGTATTTTGTAGTTAACGAAGTTTTCATTATAATGCAATATAATATTCAGGTAAATTCACTTTTGGACAAAAGAGACGCGAATATAACAGAAGATTTACTGCTTAAACTCGACAAGTTGGGTTCAAAGGTTGAACTTAAGGAGGAAGTATCAACAAGTACTATAACTGATAATGTTGCTATTGTAATTTCCAACCCTGCACTTGATCGACCGAGAGGCATAAGGATCGCGGCAGAAAAGAATGATACGTTTAGAGAAGACAGTTTCAGTTACATATCAGGTGAGCAGAGAAGCAACAATTTTTATTCTAATAAATTTAATTATTTAACTGTTATATGTAGAGTGCAGATTCAGATTTTAATTTAGTGAATTTGTAATATCAAAAAGTACAAAGTGTTAAAAACTAAGGTTGGTAACTTAACTTACTTGGGTAAATTATGTTTCAAAATAATTACACGCTTGTATACTTGCAAGAGACGTACAAAATTATCTGCACACTTATATTTTGTATTATTTCGATTTATAGGTTATCACTTCCAATAAAGTAAGATGTTGCTTTATTTCTTTGCTTTCCTATTTTTTGTGCCTAATAAATATAATCCTATATATTATTTTTTATTACAGGCAGTAATTACAGTCAATATTTGAACTCTAACGTGAGCAGCACAGTTGTATTATTGCCACCGTCTGCCATAGACTCACCGAGCCGTATTAGCTTTGTCGTCTTTCGTGATAATCGTGTATTTCGTGATTTAGCTGGTGATGTTGTGGTCAATAGTCGAATTGTAAGCGTCAACATTTACAACTATACAAATTTTGACGAGGGAGAGGTTAGTTTATTTACTTTACTTTATTACTTTATCTTATTTGAATAAAGATCATTTCTATTTATATTTCTATTTCTATCTTATATATAAAATTCTCGTGTCACAGTTTTCGTTCCCATACGCCTCCGAAACGGCTTGAGCGATTCTCATGAAATTTTGTGACCGTATTGAGTAGGTCTGTGAATCGTCCAACATCTATTTTTCATCCCCCTAAATGTTAGGGGTGTTCCACCCCTAATTTTTTTTTTATTTTAAGGCAAAACAACGTTTGCCGGGACAGCTAGTTTCTTATAAAATTCCTACATTAAATCTCTTGCTATGAGGTTATATGAGGTTATCACATCAAGAAATTTGATGAAGGATTTTTTGAAATAAAATCTGAACTCAACCTTAACAGTAAAATAGATAATATGTTCAGCAGTTTAATCTTGATAAAATAATAAACAGGCCGAGAGATTTTCTAAACGATATATAGTATTGTTAGAATTACCTCGCTGAAATTTCTATTAAGGTCATAAAAATTAAATGTTTAACTATTAAGATTCTAAAAACCCAATTTAATATAGAAACAATTATTTTAAAACTTCATTTCTATCTTATTTTCAGGTTATAGATATTTATCTTAATCCATCAAGTGTGAAACCAGGTCGAAGAATTAGTAGAGCGTGTGGGTACTGGAAATTTGTAGAAAATACCACCGGATATTGGGCGACTGATGGCTGTACTTTTCACAAAGCTACTATACCTGGACATCTAGATTTTTGCCGATGCACCCATCTTACGCATTTTGCAGAAATATTAATTCCTCGTTCAAGTTTTTCTAAGACCCATGAGGTTTTCTAAGTTTTTCTAAGACATAAATAGCTCTATATTTTGTTAAATAAATAGGTATATTATATTTTGAAAAATCGGGGAAATTCCACAAATAAAATATATTTACGCCATGAGGTTGTTCTCGAAGTACTGTCAGTAGTAGGATGTATTTTATCTATATTTGGATTGACGATTATTGCAGTCACAGCTGGAGTATTTGATTCTTGGAGAAATGATTTCAGTAATAAAATTTGGCTTCAATTGTGTTTGGGAATTTTTTTGATCAATGTTTGTTTTTTAGTTACCATATTTGCTGAATTCGAGGAAAATAGTATTTGGTGCATAGCTACAGGTATAACTTTACATTACGCGGTTTTAAATTCTTTTATGTGGATGGTAGCAGCGGCTATAAGTTCATATAAAAAGTTAGTTTTAGTATTCTCAAGCGATATATCTATACCCAAGTTCACAGTTTTTGCTTTGATAGCCCCTTTAGCAATTATAGGTCTACTAATTTTCCTTTACCCTCATTCTTATTCACAGCAATTCAATGAGAAGACTCTCAGTGGAGCTTTCTGTTATCCTTCAGGTTATGGTCTTCTAATAACTGTATACATACCTATTCTAATTATGTTACTTATAAATTGGACATTATTTGCTCTGATACTCAATGCTATATGCAAATCCACAAATATACGTAAACACGGTAGTCGTTCAAGAGATGCATTACGAAATGCTGTTGTTAGCAGTCTGTTAATATTTCTGTTTGGTTTGCCTTGGATTGCTGGTCTCACTGCACAATTTATAATAAGTGCTTACATCTTTACAATAACTGCAAGTCTTCAAGGATTTGTGTTATTTGTATTTTTTATATTAGCTAACAGAAAGACAAGAAATCTATGGATTAGAAAATTAAACTTGGACAAGTCTGCAACTGTTACTTCGACTGATATTTATACAAGGTCGGGAAGAAGTAAAGATAGCGAAAGCAGTTCTCACGAACTTAAACGGTTGACGTCTTCAGACGACCCCGCCATCGCTCCTAAGACAAGAGTAAAAGTGATCCTAAGTCCCAGTAATGCGTGATAACCAGACAAATTTTTGTATTGCAATTTAAATACTATTATTATTACAAATATTTTAAAGATTTTAAAAATATTTAGTTCTTCGATACTTAATTATGCTTACATATACATACACGGATAGACAGTAGCAATTATTCGAACAACCTCATTGGTCTAGTAATAGCTTATCGCCTCACTTCCAACGGTCGCGATTTCGATGTCTGCGAACATTTGTAATTATGAGTATGATTGTTACTATTGGTCTGGGGTTTTCTATGTATTGCATGTAGTGTATGTATTAATTAATTTATACGGGTACATTTATATTTAAGTAAAAGATTGTTTGAACTCGGTCTAGTATGTTTTTGTATTATTCTCTCTACAGAATAGATACGATATATGATATGTAATGTAGATGTTTCGATTTCATTGAACATATTAATAAATGTACATTTTTATTGTAAAATGAATATGGTTCTTTATACGTATTGGGTTTTGTTACATTGTCTGTAGGAAATTTATTTTATCGGTAAGTTGTTTTAAACCCGCCTTTTGTTAAACATTACAAAATGTTCCTGTTTGTACTTATTTTAATCTTACTAGTATTTTTAAACGCGATTATTTGTGAGTATGGATGGATAGATGAATGTTTATTACTTTTCCACGCAAAAACTACTGAACAGATTTGAAGAAATTTTACAATAATGTAGCTTATACATCGGAATAACACAGTACAGCTATTGTATAAATATGTACATTACCATGTGCGCTGTAGCTGAGTGCGGGTGACAGTTTCAGTAACATTTCATTTCACTCTTGAAAGTTTCCGGCAAATTTGAAAATTTGTAATTATGACTTAGTATTTTAGCTGTACCACATGCGTAATATATTAAATCATTAATAACTGTAGTAACTTAAATTTAACCCAGCCAGAATGTTCTAGTCTATTAATAAAGGTAACTGTTACCTGCACCATGCTACAGTGCACATGGTATAGTGGTGGTTGTGACCTCATGTTCATCCTATCATCCTCCACTGGTGCCCCGCCAGCGTAAACCGTTAGCGCAGGCGGGTGCACCATTCCATTATCACCCATATTAAAAAAAAAAACTACATACGGGTGTGCATAGAGCGCTATCTTTTAATTTTAGTGGAAACTACGACACACGATATATTATTTAATGAATAAATTATGATAAAATGGTAATTTATAATTTATTTGAAAATTCAGGAAATGTTTTGAAAATACTGAAGGTATTTTATTTATTTATTTATTAAAACTCTTTATTGCACCAGACAAAGAAAACACACAAAATGATATAATACATAAACTGATATGAATGACGATACGATGAAAAGGCGGTCTTATCGCTAAGCAATCTCTTCCAGACTACCAGTAGAGAAAGTAACATTAAGATAAGAAAATAGTAGGTGGTGCACGTAATGAACATAAAGATACATTTGTACATAAATATATCTATTAATATATATAATAAAATATAAAGATACGTAAACATACATATACTTACATATTATCAAAGGAGTTTCTACTCTTTCTTGGATATTTTTCTTAGCTTACTTTAGCCTACATATTTAATTAACGTGCTCTGTGAATGTCATTCTAAATTCTGTTTGCACTTTGCATTGACATTTTTTATTGTAGAGATATTTTCAAAACATTTTTTTTTTATTCAAATTGTTTCTACTCTATTTATGACTCTTTTTGTATTGTACAGAGTCAGTTTTTGATAAATTCATAGTTGTATTCTTCTATTTTTAATAATTATGAGACTCAAAATTTTATTTACATTTTATTATTTAATTTTATATTGCATAATTTATTTTAACTGTAGATGTGTGACATTTATAATAATGTCACTATTTTTATATAAATAAATACAATAAATGTATTTTGTTTAAGTCATTGTTTTATTATTACGTAGAAGTTTGTCTGTGTGGATGGATTCGATTCTCATTCTTCTACTAAATATGCATATAAAATTACCTAAAAATCGGTCAAGCCGTTTCGGAGGAGTATGGTAACTATGTGTGTGATATGAGAATTTTATATCTTAATAATATTATAAACGTGAAAATTTGTGAGTATGGCTATGTTTGTTACTTTTTCACGCAGAAACTACTAAACGGATTTTGTTCAAATTGTACAGTGATGTAGCTTATGCATCAGAATGGCATATAGGCTATATTTTTTAATGAAATTTATGTGTTGAAATGTGAAACCGCGGGCACAGCTAGTAATATTATAAACGTGAAAGTTTGTGACTATGGATAGATATTTGCTACTTTTTCACTCATAAACATCTGATTGGATTTTCATGACACTTACCAATAATATAGCTTACATCAGAATAACATAGACTATAAATTTCCCGTGAGCGAAACGTATATACATTAATGTAGATACTGGATGGCTTTAAATGGAAGGCGGATTTGAAGTCGTCTACATGAGTAACTATGTCAAGCCTATCTCTGATGATAAGGAGCTTGCATTGTCAAATGTACTCCAGAATAGGATAATCTGGAAAGTATTAGGAACACATGGATGCCACGGCCGTCAATATACATGTATAATGCTGCCGGCCACAGCTGCCCTTTACAGCTTCATCAAACGATAGGGGGCGAGTACAGATGGCACTCCCAAACTCGCGGTTTCTGAAGGACAATTTCCTGTTTAGTCTGAGGGCACCACTAGAGTTCAATTCCCGTTTGAATTGGACGAGGGATCGATTTCGTTGGTACTTAGCCTTAAGGATTATCGCTGTCATTTGCTTGCTGGTCTAGTTACCTAAAATAATGTCATCTGTTTGATTGAATACATGTCTTTGTCTCTATCTAACACTTCTGCTGTGAAGCTATTGTACAAGCTGTGATTCATTTTGAAGACTCCTGATACATTAATCTATTCGCCTGGTACAAGCTTTGATCCGTTTTGAGGACGTTAAATGCGTTACTCTTCACCACTCTAGATCCTGTAAGAAATATACCGTATGCTTCGTACCAAGCGAACAGAAATACAAGCTGCCTACTAATAATATTTCCCTTTAATAATCTGCGACTATATTCTTATGCTAAATACTAGGCGAACAGAAATACAAGTAGTCTACAACGACATATAGCGTTGTATATTTTTATTATTGAAATACTAAGTCAATATTTTATTATATTTAGTACCAGGCGAACAGAAATACGAGCAATCTACGACAAACCGTTGTAATTATTCTCGTATTTATTTTTAGTAAGTCTTGCGAATATATTCTTATGCCTACCAGGCAAACAGAAATAAAAGGTGCCTACAACAACGTATTCAGAATTCTACTATTCGTATTTTTTTAATTTAGTAATGACAGTCAAATGCAAAGTACCAGGAGAACATAAACACAAGGAGTGAGAACTACGGAAATATGTCTATCTCATTTTAATCGATTTCATTAAAATGAGATAGATAGATATCTGAGCATTACCATTAGCACTCATTCACAAACCAGAACGCAGGCGCCATCTGAATCCGATTTTTGTTAAACATTTTTGATATATTTATTCAAACGTACTAGGCGAACATAATTATAAGAAGAGTATAAAGTGTTAGAAAGAGAAATCGATTAAAACGACAGTTAATATTCCTAAATTTGTGCATTTAAGAAATCCGGTTTAAAACAATAACTATGTTTCACATACTTTACACATTTTGAGTTAAATGTAGAATTACTAATAAGTTAGAGATACCTACAAATATCAATTAAAAATAAGTAAGTAAGTTGACACTAATTCAAGCTTACTTTTTAAATACCAGTTTGTAATTTTTATAACTGATTGCAAGAATAAATTAGTAAAAGATTTGTAACTACATGAAATATTGTTTTGTTGGATTACATTTATAACTAGCAGTACACGCGACTTCGTCCGCGAGGAATTTGACTTTATTTGTGTTTACACATTTTTTCTAAAATAAAAGTAGCCTAAGTAACTCCTTATTACATCAGCTACCTGCCAATAATAGTCCCGTCAAAATCGGTCCAGCCATTTTCAGAGATTAGCCGGTACAAACAGACAGACAGACAGACAGACTAAAATTGTAAAAAATGTTATTTTTGGTGTATGTACCGTATTTATATTCATGTGCATGTAGTAAAAAACGTTTATTTCAATATTACAAACAGACACTCCAATTTTATTTATATGTATAGATGTCATGTTTTGTTTAGAACAGCGAATTGCACTCAATAAAATAAAATAAATAGATATACAAAAGTATTTTTACATAACTCTTATGTATCAAAATATCAAACATACAATTCAATTTGCAGCAAAAGTAGCACATATGCAAAGATACGAAGCATAGTTTGTAAGTAAAATAATAAAACAGGATATTTATAATCCCTTGAACGGCTAATTAGCACCTACTCGAGCTAAATGGATAAAATTAATTAATCGAAGGTGAACTAATGAGTATCAAGGGCAGATAATGTAAATAAATCGTTACCATAGCAACCCCCTTTTGCTAAATAAAACTGCAATCTATTTATTGTTGCCATGACATTGACGTCGCATACTTCACTTTCATTCGTGTTGTGAACGTTGTTGCATTAAAATGTTTTGGGGAATTAGTCCAGCACTTGATCTACAAGAAGAATATCTTAAGCATGGAGATGGAAATGCATACGAACTCAACTTTTTAGTCATCGGTGGATGTGACGGGAGACATCTTATGAAAACTTTGGCGCAAGCCTACAGACATACGAGGCGCTACATGAATCTCTTCGTCATAGATGGCTGCCCAGAACTAATTGCGAGGCAACTTCTTCTCATCTCCTTGGGTCTAGAGAGGACAACCAGATGCGGTCTTTTAGAAAAGACGAGACGATTCCTCGAAGTCTACGGGAATATCCTGCTAAGACCACCGACATCGAGGTATGTCATCGCAAAGGCTCGCCAACTTGTATCAATGATTACAAACCCAGAATATATGAATGGTCTTCTACCGTACATTTCTGTGGAACAAATGAAATATCGCGAGAAAGATTACATGGAAAACCTTTTGAATTTCTGGACAACAGGTAATACAAACCAATTTAATGCCTGCGAACTTTGGGAACATCGTGTTAGGCATAATCTAGGACTGCGATATGACAACAGAGCCGGTGTATATGATTGGGATTATCACATGCGCATTAAAGAAATAGCTTCTCAAATATGCGTTCAAGAATATAAACATTTTAGAGAGCACGGTATTTCCTTTACATGGCTGGAGACGGAAGTATGTCGACCAAATGTATCCCTAGCTGCTGGTGTTTATAAGTGCGGTGATCGTTATTTGCATAGAGGTTATTTAGGAGATATGGTAACGTCTCCATATATCAGTTATGGATTAGATTGCGAAGACAAGGATATGTTAAAATCATCTCACGGAGTAAATTATAAAAGAGCAACAGATATATCTGAACGCAACGTGATGAGAATGCTTTATGAATTGGAGTATAAACAAAAATTTGATGCAACAGCAATGAATATAGACATGCAACAAAATTTAGGAATGGTTGTGATGAGTGAACTAGATGCAAAGATTTCCGAGAGTAGACCAGAAGCACCATTACTTCTTCGGGAAGATCGTGATACTTACATAGATATAGATTATGGGAAAATACATTTCCTTTCTCTGTCAGCGTTGGATCACTATCCGCACAAACCTCAATTCCAGGGTTTATTTCACGGTGTATTTGTAGGTAATAACATTCTGCCTCGAATAAAACCGAGCATTTGGTCAATGGCTCGAGACGATGCCATTGTTATAATGGAGAGTCGTAAATATATGGTCGATTTAAAAAGAGACGATGTCAAAGCTTTTGGCGATCAGATCCAACAAGCAGCTATTGCAGCACAATGTGAAAAAATAACTTCGTTCGATCCACAAAAAGATGATTATGCCAGATTTTTAATTCGAAGAACAAGTGATAGTGTTGATATATCTGTTTAAATTGTATTTTTTATTCATTTCAGTCAGTCTTCTCAGGTTAGTAAAATATTAGATGAATCTGATGCGGATTAATGTTTTCATAACTATACAGTACGTTTTAGTATAAAAAAAAATAGTGAGAAATTTATTCAGTAGTGTACAATAACTGACAGTATTAATGATAACTGTAAACAAATAAAACGGTTTTATAAAAAATTAAAAATTATGTATAACTCTTGATGTTCCGGTGTAACTATCTGATCTGTGCCTATATATATTCAACAGTGAAGAGCTTTGGGGATCATACTTAGTATTAGAGAGTGATAGATATAATAAAACGACCCATAAAATTTGTGTTCATCTATTTTTTCATTAATAATATGTTACATTCATTTAGTAAATCATATAGCAAATATATTTACAAGGACAAAATCAAACTGAAAATTACGTCTTAACGTCTTTTTCGTTTAAAATTCGTATTTTTATATTACATAATATCACTTAATTATAACATTTCTATATACGTAGTTCGGTGGTGTTGGTTACTTGACGTGAATGTTCTTAAGTTTATTTCGAGGAAAACATTTTTGAGCAAGACATGTTTTCCTCAAACTGTTAGAAATGATGTTATTTTTTTAATGATCGTATTCAATAAATAGACCTATCTAAGTAATTTTTTATTTCACCTTTCATTTCTTTCATCTTTTCTTTCTTTTCTTCATTCTTTCATGTTGTAACATAAAGGTTTAAAAAACTATTACTCATGATTAAAATCTAAGATCAGTAAAGAAAAAGTTTGAATTATCTAATAAATTAATAACAACCCATATGACCACATCATTGTCTGGTCTTTAAGACATCCAGTCAGCGAATATCTTACAGCACAACCCAGAACACCCTGACCCGAGTAACTTTAGAATTAACTTTAGAAGAATTAGAAGATTTTTTGCTTAAAGTAACCGAAATAAAAACTCTGTATATCAATTGCAATATCTTTTCCACTAGACCGCAGAGGTTAGCGTACCGAAACCACACTCTGATCTTAGACACGAACGAATTGAAATCAAATCAAATTAGGATCGATTAGATAAATATTTAACATTATTTTGCAAAACAAGATGTCTTGCATTACAAGAAGGCTTGTTTGTTATTACAAATACAAAAAGGTCACAAGATTACTTATAAAGCCAAGCCGAGCCGGAAGCTATTCACAGAGATTCAATAAATTGAAAGAAAATTTGTATATGAAGTAAATTGAAAATTTAAAAATATATTTAGCTTGGCCTGAATGCATGTACAGGTGGATACGAAAGGTACAAGGGTATACTATGGTTTCTTGAGGATCGGCAACGTGCTCGTGACACCCGTGTTTCAGAGATTCATAGGCTATGGTAACCGTTTACAGTCAGATGATATAAAAAACATGCAGTTTCATGAACATTATAATTGAGCTTGCACTTATCTGGCTTCTACTCTTTATAATGAACCCTGATAGCGCACAAACTACTATGTTACATTTGAATCAAACTCATCAATTAATACGTTTGATTCGAATACCATTTCAATCCTTTTGAATTGTTTTCAATTCAAACTGTCTTGTTATTTTTACCAACTTTACGATACCTTCTATCTGGAGAAGATCTAATCACATTCACTACTTTGATTTGTTTTTAATTCAAACTCGTGCAATCTTTTATGATATTTTTACCACCTTTATGATACATTCTATCTCGAGAAGATCTAATCACATTCATGACTTAAGAACATTCGAGCCAAGGGGTCTAAAGCACCACCGTGAGCAATGGCGGAGTACGGCGCCGTTCGCAATTGACGTGTTAGGCCTATGCGTACAAACTGATCTCTGCTATCGCGCACACAAATAAATCTATCGATTTAAATACTTCTTTTAATTTAAAATAAAAAAGTATTTAAACATTTTTAACTATGGCAGTGTTCAATTCTACACAGAAACAGCGCTGCAGCAGTAATTGTATAGGTACCGATATGGCATAATGCTGCAAATTGGCGATGTTACCAATTAGTATCATAGTCTCTAGGTATTACGATAAGTAGAGCCGATTAGTAAGGCCCCTAACATTTAGCACATCAAGAGCAAAACTGGTGGGTAAGTTAAGATTTCATACAAAGATAGGCCTGACCAATCGACCCTGCCGAACGTAGTAATAATCGTTAGATAAACATAGATATTGTCATAAACATTTCCAGAAATTTTCTGTCCAAAACAAAAGCGTCATTAATTAAGCATAAGAATTTGTCACCGAAAATTTCTGATCATGTTATGCGGCCGACTTAATGCCAGCTCGACTTGCACGACGAAACTCCGCGCGATTTCGTAAATCTGAGCATAGTATGTTATGATTTTCGCAATGTTATTTTTCTACAGTGCTTAAAGATAATCATTACAAGATACGGAATATCTTAGTTCTTAGTAATAGTACCCAACCTATCTAAATTATCATGGGCTTACAATGTATTTTGTGATCTTGTAGACAACACGTACCACTTTACACGAAGTGGTCCATCATTATCATTGTCTTGTTTTATATTCCGGTTACATAAAAATAAAGGTATATACATCGTACTATAAATTTCACACATAATGTATTCTAAATGCATAGTAACTTTGAGCGTGCAAAATATTTAAACTTCCTAACTGACTATTAAATAATATCGTTTGTTTAATTTTAATATATATTATTACTTATTTAACCGTTGAACTGTTTTCTTATTATTTTGATTGATTTTATTAATTTTTCTTCATACTTTAAACTGAATAAGATACGGGGCAGAGAACACGATGTCTTGTGTATATATTATGTTATACTATACTAAGTTTAGAATGAATTAGTAACTTCTTTATACAATTGTAGGTACATATGTAGCGCAACAAATAAAACAATTTAATATATTTAACGGTTATTACTCTGCACCGATTTTTATATAATCTAAATAGATATATACAAGTGAAAGTTTATTTTATGAAAAAATAAGAAACAGATAGAGATATACTTTTGTATTTATAATAATAATATGAATTTAATTTACAGTTTTTATATTCTGAAAATTATGATTGTTTTTATATATTTATTACGGTATTATAAGCAATATTATATTACTACAGTTCCTCGATTAGATTAAATACAGTATCAATTGAGAAATAGGTAAGCGATTGAAATGAATATCATACATATTTATTGGTCAATAGGTCCATATAATCGTGAAATTTGTCGCTTTGCGAATTTCCGAACAATGTCCTATTTACATCCTTTTCCAGATTGATGATAAATATATACCTTTATTACTAACAAATATAACAATTTAGAATACATAAATATAGAGCGTAGGTATGTATTGATAACAAGAGCTACTTTAACTATTGTTGATTTGTTAATATAAAACGCACCGGTAGTGAGGTGTACTTACATAGCGCTGATTCGAGTCAGCCGACACTATAAATTTCTATAACACCATTATGCCACAAAATTGAAGATCAAACGAACTTACCAAGTGAAGTTCGATCGTAATTATGTGAGCAGCTTCATTCGAAGCGATTTCCGTTTAACATAATGTAGTAGCGCCATCTACTCTAGACCTTAGCACGATAATTTAAATACCTTCTTTTTTTTTTTTTTTTTTTTTTTTTATTGCAATCCAATCACTCCCCTCCTTGTAAGTGGGGCGAGGCTACGTTTTAAATGTAATCGTTCGAGTTAGTCATTTTGTTTAAAGTTATGAATCTGTTATTTGTTATTTTATAATCACAAGTATTATTGGGATGGGATTGATGCCAATATTAATTGGGTGGGTGATAATAAATCGCTTCGAATGAAGCTGCTCACATAATTACGATCGAACTTCACTTGGTAAGTTCGTTTGATCTTCAATTATGTTTCGCAGCTTCATTCTTTGCGATTTCCGTTTAACATAATGTAGGATGTTTAAAGTCGTGATTTTAAAATAAAAATTAACAATGACAAATAATACTTATCAGTATTTGTTTTTGCATAATATATCTCGGAATAGGTAATAATACGTCGGCAGACAATTTTTAGAATATTTTTATTAATATACAAATCAAAATCAGTTCTCCATTGTAGGTAATTTTGTATACAATAGTTATAATGTTGTATCATCTAGTAATGATTCTGCAAATATATTATTATTTGTAATTTCTTTATTGTAGAAGCGAGCAAACGCTGAAGATGAATCAGACCATCCTGCGGTCCTTTTAATTACTTCTATACTAACACCCAGTTTGTTAGCCTTCGATGTGGCTGCATGTCGTGTACTATGTGAACTAAATATTGATGTGTTAATGCCGCTTTCTTCTAATATATCTTTTATCCAATGGCTAATAGTCTGGGGGCCGATATTAGAATGAGGTTTTTGAAACTCACAAAAAGCCTGTTGTCATTATTACTGCGTAGCAGTTTAGTTTTATTTAGGTATGATTGTAAACAACGAGCGGGACAAATTTCTGGACGGGTATTATAAAACGGAAGTCGTAATATGGGTAGAGATGTATTTAATTTTGTTGTCTTAATTGCGTCTGTAATCTTTATCAGAATTTCATTAGACATTGTATAAATATTATTTATGTGGATTAATGACAGAGTTTGTACACGATGTGCAGTCACAAGGGCGAGTAACGTTACTGTCTTCTTGGAAAGAGTTTTCAAATCAAGGTCATCGTTAGGCCATTTCTGTGCTAGAAATTGTAAGACAATTCCAGGGTCCCAAGTTATGTTATATTTTGGGTTCGATGGCCTTAGTTTAAAAACTCCCTTCATGAAGCGCTTAAGTCTATCATCATCCAGATTATTGCTTAATAACAGAGACAAGGCGGATTTGTATGTATTAATCGTTCCATATTTGGCACCTTTATCGAATGCATCCGTTAAAAACTCTATTATTGGAGGTATAGATATAGAAGTATAATCATAATTATGACAACTGCAATAATTGAGCCAAGCTCTTATACCGCCGTCATATTGCCTATATGTATTATTTGATAATGATGCAAGCATTATATCTACTGATCTCGGTGTTAGTGACTTCTTTAATAGAGTCTGCCGGATAATTTCGCGGCAACCAACGTTAGAGAGCGGTGTAAGCTGTGCACGGATCTGTAAGGAGATTTAAGCAAGTTAATACGTGGTGAAAAATATATAAGGTCTGACTGACATATTCTTTTGAACAAGGGGAACCATGGTTGGGTTGGCCAGTATGGTACGACAACTATACCCTCCGCCCTGTCTAGTATTATTTTTTGAATCATTTTCAATATCATTGAAAATGGTGGAAAGGCGTAAAAATTTAATTCTTCCCATGAAATTGTGAAAGCATCAATGGCCCATGCTCCTGGTTCATTTTTCCATGTAACATATGTATCACATTTAGAATTGCAGCGACTGGCAAATAAATCAATATTTGCCACACCTAACTGTTGTTTAATTTCATTATACGCGTAATCACTTAATTCCCACTCAGTATCGCAAAATTTCTTCCTAGACAGTCTATCAGCGTTAAGATTTTCTTTCGTGTTTATGTATGATGCAAACACTATAATACGACGTCTTTCACACCATTTCCAAATATCTCGAGAAACCTCATTTAGGTGTGGATATTGGACACTCCCCATTCGATTTATACAAGAAATTGCTGTTACGTTATCTATTCTTAGTAACAATTCACATTCATGATAATTACTGGCAAAGACTTTTAATCCAAAGAACGCAGCTTTAAGTTCTAGTTCATTGATATGCAAATCTATTTCATCTTCTTTCCAATAACCATACGACTCTTCACCATCACAGTATGCACCCCAACCTGTGGATGAGGCGTCGGTATAAATTTCTTTACGGTACTGATTTCTTTTTATAGGGGAATATCCATTATCCACATTTTTCAGCCACCATAGGAAATCTCCTTTAATAAAATGTGGTAAAGTTACAATTTGATTATAATTGTAATTTTTTAATAAAGCTTGATATTTGAATTGTTCAAATAATTTTGTATGTAACCATGAATACTGTAATGCCGGACAAGCAGATACTAAAAGACCAACCATTCTAGCAAAATCTCTTAATTTACATTTGTTTTTATGTAAAAAATTATGGATATAATTTTTTACTTTTTCTTTTTTATCTGTAGGTAATTGCATAATCATCTTATCAGAATCAAAACAGAAACCGAGAAATCTACAGTTCGTACTAGGATTCAAACAGCTCTTATCACGATTTATAATGAACCCTAACTTTTTGAGTAATAAGCATGTGTTTTCTATATTATACTTGCAATCGATATAATCTATTCCAATACAGAGAATGTCATCTAAGTATATTACAGATATACAATTTTTGGATCGCATAAATTCCATAACCGGTTTTAATAACTTTGTGAAAACATACGGAGCTGTGCATAAACCAAATGGTAAACAATTAAACTCGTAAAGAAAACTATTACGATTTAATTATAATGGTACATTATAATTAAATCGTAATAGTTTTCTATGTATTTTATCGATGTTAACAAAAAAATAGGCGTCCTTTAGATCAATAGAACCCATATGACAATTTTTAGTTATTAATTTTATTGTCGTTCTGTAATCTTCCATTTAAAATGATCGGTGCTTATAAATTTATTAAATTGTTTTAGGTTTAGAATAAAGCGTTTTTTGCCATTTGGTTTAGTCACAAGAAATATATTGGATATGAATTCTCCATCTTCATGGAAGCATTTTGATATCGCATTGATATCGATTAGTTCCTGAATTGCTTTAATAAATTCGTTGTGCTCTTGTGAAGATTTAGGGGTGGTACATGGTATTACAGTTTGAACTGGTTGTGCGACTAATGGTATTTTATAACCTTTTATCCATGATAATAAAACATGATCATTAGTTATCTGAATCCATTGATTGTAAAAATATTGTAATCGACCAGCGTATTGACTTACCTGTGAATCTATCTCCGATGATTCTTCCTGGTCGGTGAGAATGCTCGTCGCGGCGGCGGTGGTGCTGGCGGGCGTAACGATACATTGCTGCGAGGCTGACGTGTCGAGGCACGACCTCTTGATGTTTCGTTGTTTCTGAATGGTGGTTTCCTTTGTATTTGGCCCCTGTAGTTTAAATTCCGGGTTTTTGACATATTTTTGTAAATTGACACCCTGCTAGTTGATGCTACAGGATTAATTTGGGATAATGATTCTCCTGTTTTCTGTACAGATTTTGCTGCTTTGAGCTTCTCTGCTAAATCTTCACCAAACAAGAATTTATCTCGTTTAGTAGTATCGAACGTATCGCGTAGACTACAATTAATAGAACTCATAATAATGTTTCGTCTAGTTTTTGTTTCCACGTTATGACTATCGCACAATAAACGACACGCATCACTAAGAGGTTGTAGCAATTTTTGCTTGGAGTTTTCATTCTGCAGAATCATCTCGGTGAGCTCAGCCAATGCAGACAATACAATCCCAATCTGACTTTGTTTTTGTAATAGCGTAGCATCTCTCTTGACTAATATATCCGGCATTGCAACCTTAGCTTCTGGATTTAATATTGGAGCCATTAAATTACTACAGTTAGCTGGAATAAAGTATCTTTTAAGAATAATATCTTTAGCTTCTTTTGGTAAACCCTTTATTAATATATCTTCCCAACGGGAAGCGATATTTGAGTGAATATTTTTACCAAACTTTATGTCTGGCTGAGGTGCCTCACCTAATATTTGCAAAATATCATCTTCTAGTTGCATCTCTTCTGGTGTATTTACGTAAACATTTATTTCTTCTTTGTCTGGGACAGGCGAAGGATTTAAACCAGTGACAACTGGGTCCACATTTGGCGACTGTGGTAAAGGAGACATCAGATCGGGCATGTCTAATGCTATCTCTTGTTGAGATGGCGACATTCCGATTGAATTCGGTATACTTGGAACTGTAGTTAATTGTTCTGACGAAACTCGTCTTATATCAGTATTCACTGTATCGTCGGCGTTGTCAGAATCTGCACAACAAATAATAACATTATAATTATAAATCAACACCTTCAAGTACCGTCAACGACAGTTCATATTAACTGCCAACGGCAATAGTGGATCGCCAATAGCGATAGGAAATTGACTAAAATTTACTTACCATTATCATCTGATGAAAGTATACGTCTTCGTCGATGTAATTTCTGTTCCAATTTCCTCATCTTTTTCATAATTCTTGCCTCTTCTTTTTCTCGTTTTCTCTTGTTTCCCATATTTAAAATATTGTATTTTAAAAAATAACGAACTTTGAATTAAGAAACACTAGGGTTGCGGTATGCGTGCGAAGGCTTTGAGCACGAAAACGCGAATGGCTAACTCGAACGATTACATTTAAAACGTAGCCTCGCCCCACTTACAAGGAGGGGAGTGATTGGATTGCAATAAAAAAAAAAAAAAAAAGAAGGTATTTAAATTATCGTGCTAAGGTCTAGAGTAGATGGCGCTACTACATTATGTTAAACGGAAATCGCAAAGAATGAAGCTGCGAAACATAATATAACTTACTGCTGATTTATTTGTGTGCATACATGTTATAAAGTTCCGAAAAGAATGACAAATTCCAGATTTATTTAATTCGCTAAACCTTTTGACAATAAATTAGAAAATATTTTATAATTTGTATTGCATTTTATAATAGTACAGTATTGTATACTTGGGATTTTATTAAAATTGAACCTACATTCAGGCAAATGATTCTAATAAAGAGTAATTAGCTTTTAGATCTAAAAACGATTAAGTGAGTGACCATACTTCAACATTGTCATTCTTTTCGGCAGGCCCTCTTGAGTAGGTCGATGGCACTGATCAGCCTGATGTTTACAGTCCTGTTCAAACCAGGCCAAATGTACAATTTTGCATTTAACAGATTTTTTTGTGTACTAGTAAATTCAAGGTGTGACAGAGAGGGTACAACGTAATAATGAGATTAGTAAAAATAAGAGCTATGTTTTCAGGTATAAAGTAGGAAATGCTTTACAGATTTTACAGACTTTTACTTACATATATTTATTAGTAGTATCTGAGGTCAAGATCTATCTATATTGTCGAAAAACAATATTGAACACCCTTGTAGAGCAGTGCAAGGGAGAGAGGCATAGTAAAGAATTCTGATTACAATATGTTTTTCTCTTTCTAAATCAATTTCAAAATGATTTCTAAATTTTGCTAACCTCTTTTTTATTATGATGTACGCATTATGTAACAAACTTATACATTATTTATTTATCTTTTTTTTTTAATTAATAATATAACAGATATACCGACATAGATATATGTAATTATGTAGCTATGCTACAGGTTGATATTATAAAATCATGCTAGCGGTCGTAATATGTTATCCTGAACTATTTTACTTGGGCATTTTAATTACATAACATCTTTATCTTACGAACTTGTTATACCTTATATCTGTAACATCCTGTATATTAAACAAGTCTGTCAAATGCCAAATATTTGGTCAAGTGTGAGCGAGGTGTAACGCGCGCACGTGACCCCTGCTGGGTAGCGGTCACTCGCTCCATCTTGCAACCAGGTTGCCAGTCTCGTTATTGGGGATTCAAGTAACGATATAAATACTCCTTCATCTCATATACAAAGTGATTTAACTACATGAAAATTTAGAATCATCGAGGTGCAGAACTAATTACGATATCAGTAGTAACGTTCAAGAGCTATATATATACTTGGTTTTACATTTTTCATTATTTATTTATAATACAACTAAATATACATATATATTATAATATATTTTATTGTCTACATAAAAACATATACTTAACAGTAGCTTTTTATAGGTTAGAAATACATCCATATACTGGCAACCTTATTTACAAGATCACTCCGAAAGAAAATAATATAAATAAGCAATCCTTATTTATTTGGTTATTTACGCAATCTCATGTACAATGTGCTGTTGACACGAAATAGAGTGTCCATAATTTCGATGTAAACTTCAGGACACGAGTTACTAGCTGTTGGTTGGCTAACTAGATGTCACGTGTCCAGACAGCGAGCGCCGCCCCCAGCTACAGAGTATAGCAGTCACATCTACCCTGTACGTGTTCATAGTATATATTTAGACTTACTTAAGTATAACGTATATCTATATAGTGTAATTATTCGGAAACAGGGCGCGGGGCCTCGCAGCGCCAGTGAACATCGTACCAGAGTGACAGCAGTCGACATGAGGCTAATCGAACTTTATTCAATATTTTAACGGTTAGTTACGTTTTTATCTACGAGTTACATCCGTGGCCGTGCCACCTAACCTAGCGTAAACGCGAATTAAAACGATAACGTTCTAAATTGTTACAATAAAATAAACGAGAAAACTATAACATATTACATTTCATAACATACATCTTTCCACATCATTTAATCGGCGTAAATTCGTTTAAAGTCAATACAATAATAATAGATATTCTGATAAAATCGAAACAACTTTTATTCACATTAAAGTTTTAGAATATGTGTACGTTAGTGGCTAATTTATACGAAATTATTGTGCACGGTGATACGAGATCTCTGAAGTGAACCATGGAACGACATTAAATTGATAGAATTTTTGGAAAATTTACGTAAACCATGAAAATACTGGAAACGCGATAGAGAGTGCTACATTCCGAAGTTGGGCGCATTTTCGGAGAGGTGATGCAGAATGAAAGCGATTGGTTCTCTCCGGGGACGGTTGCATTGTCGCCCTACTTCCTGACGGTAGTGATCAGTGAACTAGTGACCAACTGAACGATGTGGCAACGACACCCAGTATCGAGTAGTCGGATTCAACTATTCAATCAACCAATCGACCAACAAATTATCGGTATTCGACATTACAAAACATTCACAGATCTAAAGCGACGTCGAGCTCGTCCACGGGCGTCGTCGGCGACGCCTTCCCACACTAAGACAGGTATCGTTAAAGCTTCAATTATTAGCGCTCAATTTGTTAATCGCCTATCTAATTTGCAAGCTACTTGAGCTTCGTCCGTCGGAGACCAAACGAAAGCTCGACGTCGGACAGGACCTCGGCACCGTACAGCTTAATCTTAACGCTACATTCATAAAACGGTATGTCTTATTTAACATTACTTTAGACATACAAACCGCCGCGCCACCGACGAGGAACGCGGCACCGAACAGAGATAAGAGTTATAAAGCGTATCGATTTAATGGAACATATATTAAATATTAACGTAACAGATCTCTCCGGCGGCGCGGCGGGCGACACTCCACCGGTTCGGTACTTACATTCAACGGATTACTCTAAATGTTCAATACTTATAAGTTCAGTCATATCATTTATATACTGTGCTTTTAATACTTCATAGTTCAATAATATTTACAAGTCACTGATTTACTAACAATAACTATGTATTCACAAGCGGCGACGCGCCGCCGGCGGCCGCGCGCCGCCGCCCACCGAGATTCACTATTTAATTATTTTAGCTACGCGTGAGAAGATTTATTGTGTTCCTTACTAACGGTTAAACTAGTCGTTAATGTGATTAACCTAACAGTGCAAACAGAGCTCGATACATCGATTACTAGGCTAGGGTGCGGTCGCGGCGTCGCGGGCCGGCGGCCGGCGGCGCGCGCGTCAGTGCGTGTACTCGGGGAACGCGGCGGCGCCCCCCGCCGCCCCCGCGCCCCCGGCGGGTCCCGCGGGCCCCGCGCCCGCCGCGCCCCCCGCGCCCCCCGCCGGCCCCGCGCCCGCGCGCGAGCTGCCCGAGCTGCCCGGCGGCGACGGGAAGTACTCGCGGCGCGCCGCCGCCGGCACCGCGTCTTCACTCGCCCACCGGGCTAACTGTTGTTGAGCTTGAATAAATTCATCACTAGAAAATGATAGAGAAGAGGAACGGAGAGTCGATGCGCGCCGTGTCCTCCGAGGCGGGCTCCCGGCCCGCGAACGCCTTCATCGATACTTCGCTGCGGAGGCAGGAAGCCCGTCCGGGAGTGATGGCGCGTGTTTTCAGCGAGTGGGAAAAGCAAGCTCTTCCGGTAGCGACTAAGAGTTACTACTGGGTAGAACAATTAGTTATATTTAGCTTCAGCTTATGCTTTTCATGAATTTATAAAATGAATATCATTAGCGTACAAAAAATCCAAGATGTACAGTCTAAGATTGAAGACTGTGATTGAGATGAAAAAAATGGAGCATTACAACTACTTAGGTATGCGCCAAATTCTAAGCAGAGTTGTTATGGTATGTTAATTTTCATTTAATCAAAAATTTCATTATTTTCAGCTAGTTAAAACGACTGTGCGAAATGACTGCCTACCTTCATATGTCACATTATCTTCAATGCCGATTTAATAAGTAATTACTAGACTGTGCATCTTGATTTCTTTGTACCAGTAGTTGCCTTTACACGACGCGTACTTTTTCGCGCATTTAACGTCGAACGTGCACGATTTAGCCCCAGAACAAAAAAAGTAGATAGAAATACTATGGAGATGTGTCCCATATGGCAATGTTACGCGTTATAAGACATTTTTCTAATTATTAATAGCTTTCCTTTGGTAATTGTTTATTACTTTATAATTTTATTACAGAGGTACAATGATGATGTTGCGTTTATTTGAATTGTGTCGAAGTTGTTCTCAACATCACGCCGTTAACATTATTTGTCCCCAGTCGTCAATAGATGGCGCAAACAAACAACAAGTAAAAAACTTCCTTTTCGGTATTTAAGTTTAAATCAGTATGGTATTTGAATTCGTATTTAGTTAATATTACCTTATCTTAATTTATATGTATGTAGTATATAATATATATGTAGTTCATGTAAGTGTATCTATTTTAATAAATGATTATTGTATTTCTATAAATATTAATTCATATTATACTTATTAATATTTTGCTTACTTTTCTACAGTTTGCAAATTACCTGTTAGATATTTACTGTTTACTAAATAATTACTTATCTGTCTTCCCATCTACTTCTTTGATCTGTGGATACCACTTCAGTCTAAGAGTACCGCTTGGGGCTATTGAATTTATAGTTTCGATCCCCGTTTGATCAATTCGTAGCGTACGTTTTCAGTCTACTTTAATGCTGTTGGCCGCAGCTGGCCTTAACAGCTTCACCGGACGATAGAAGGCGAGTGCAGATGGCACTCCAAATCCGCGGAAGGACTTACGGCTGAAGGCCAACTCTGGCCTGACCAGAAGCGTACGTGTGAAGGCAACTGATGGGAGTATATACATATACGTATGGAGCTGTCGGCTCACCTCTCGCTATCGGGCGCGTCGCGGAGGCGCTCCGCGTCCGCCGTCTCGTAGAGCGCATCGTCGTCTGGCGCGGCGCGGGGGTGCGCGGCGTGCGCGGGGTGCGGCGCGTGGGGCGCGTGGGGCGCGTGCGGGGCGTGCAGCGCGGCGGCGGCGGGGGCGGCGGCTGCGCCCGCGCTGAACAGCGGCCCGTGGTGGCGGCCGCTGCCGCGGAACCGCGGGTACCCGAACCTGGACTCCTCCTCGCCGGGGATGCGTCCGCGGCAACGGCTGCGGTCACATATTCCAAATTCAAATTCAAAATATCTTTACTTTATTAATACTTATATACTATATTAATACTTTACTTTATTACATACAGACTCTTATGATATGTCAAATCTACCGTCAGTTCCATGTAATAATAATCCCATCAAAAACATAAATTTGAAATTATAGCCGAGTTTAATATTATGATATATGCCTTGATTGTTGACTACTACGACAAAAGAGATGAGATCTAAATGGGTGCAATGGTCTGTCCTGAAATGTATTTATAACAATATAAAATATCATTTCTTCTTATAACTCAGGATAATATACTGTAGCCTAAGGTCTGACTTGGCCAGTTATCATATACCAATTATTACCTTCGATTGCTAGTTACTACTAATAATAAAATAGGAACCGACAAGTAACATGTTTAGAACTTGCGAAGGCTACAGTGTACTTCGTATATGAAAACTTTATATAAAATTTATATTCACCTAATTACCTATCTGCATGCTAAATTTGAACTTCCTAGGTCATCTGGAAGTGCGTTATAATTTTGATCTACAGTTGATCAGTGATAAAAATGACGATATTTGGACGTTAATATCTAAATAACCATTTGAGATATGTTTATGAAATTTGGAAAACATATTTATCTCGCAAGTCTCAATATATGAACCAAATTTGACAGGTTTATGTGAAAGAGTTTTTGAGTTATGAGGGGGTCAAAAGTGGCTCCAAATGGTTCGTGTAAATATACACACGGTGCTGCTCGCCAGTTCTCTTACTTGAAACTTGGCTTGACACGCTACCGCGTGTCTAGATAATAATAATAAAACTTTATATTGTGTACACATAAAATAATAAAAAAATACAGTAAATAGTAAAATAATTACAAAAGGCGGTCTTATCGCTAAATGCAATCTCTTACTGACAACCTAGATGAGAGGACTTATGTACATAGAATAGAGAAGGTGGCACACATAAGACACTACTTATTATACTACTAAATATACATACTTACATTAGGGATAAATGTAAGTATGTATATTTAAAACTGCTACGAATAATTTTTCTTTTAAACGTAAACTACGGGAATATTATTTGAATTTATAACTTTCTCTCTTCTCTGAATTCACTTTTTTTCCATTTAACTCTCTTTAGTTCTGTGACTGTCAGACTATTTGGTATATATTTAAGTTTATTGCATATATATGTATGTATTTATGTGTATATAGGTATCATATTTGTATATATTTATGGTATATATTATTGTATCTCTTAAGTATATATATATATATATATATTGTATATATATTTATATTTTGTCGCATTTTGTTTACGTTTATAATTTTGTACCGCCAAAAATTATTCTCTGCACCACCTATGGTTGACTGGTAGAAAATGTCGCATGGTGTTAAGTCCGCCAAATGTACTGTACTATATATTATATTGTGTGCATTAAAGTTAAATAAAATAAAATAAATAAGAAATAAATATATAAACCTACATATATTCTACATATTGGAAGAAATGAGATAAAACAAATAAAAACATGTACTATGAAGAGAGATAATGAGATTTTAGTTTATTCTTAAATGATGTATGTGTTTATGTACTATGTATATCATTATAGTATAATCTATACATCTATATATATAAATAAAATTGGAGTGTCTGTTTGTAATATTGAAATAACCGTTTTTTATTGCATGCATATGAATATAAATACGGAATATACACCAAAAAACCACTTTTTAAAATTTTTGTCTGTCTGTCTGTCGTTCTGTTTGTTCCGGCTAATCTCTGAAATGGCTGACCCGATTTTGACAGAACTTTTTTTGGCAGGTAACTGATGTAATAAGGAGTAACATAGGCTACTTTTATTTTAGAAAAATAAAGTTAAATTCCACGCGGACGAAGTCGCGGGTACAGCTAGTATACAATATATTAGACTATATTACTGTAAAGTTAAGTAAAGTAACAAACATCCATCCAAAGTCACAAACTCGCGTTTATAATATTAATAAGATATTTTTTTTATTTCATTCATTCATTCATTTTTTAATTAATTTCATGTAATAAATTGCTAATTCACGCGCGGCGTGAGAAAATTGAATTTAATATTCTGTAAGCGAGTGAATAATCTGTTGTATATTCGGAACTTCGACTGTGTATTCAAGAATTGTTCAGCCGGTTTTACCCATCGCACTCTCGCCATCGACAGGGAATTCATCCATTCAGACTATTAAGATTTCTTTAAAGTGACACCCCTGCTGTTTCAGGTGTCTATAGGCTACGGTAACCTTTGTGATGTGTTGATTGTGATGATGTGATTGTGATGGCATCACATGTCAAAGATTTATGGTGTACTGTATATATTTGTATGATAATCATTTCACATCATCACCTCTTTTCATGACTGGCAGCTTACAGACGAGATAGACACGTTTCATATTTGACCTATAAAATATTCTCACGTCATCCGTCACTCGCCTTATACAACTCTGTTCCATATATTTTTTTTTTCTTCAAGATAATCTATTGTTGTCGTGGTCGCTAACTATGGGCCCCATGAACAAGCTCAGAGTCACTCAGAGAGCAATGGAGAGGGCTATGCTCGGAGTTACTCTGCGTGATCGAATCAGAAATGAGGAGATCCGCAGAAGAACCAGAGTGACCGACATAGCCCGAAGAATTGCGACTCTGAAGTGGCAATGGGCGGGGCACATAGCTCGTAGGACAGATGGCCGTTGGGGCAGTAAAGTCCTCGAGTGGCGACCACGGACCGGAAGACGCAGCGTGGGAAGGCCTCCAGCAAGGTGGACCGACGATCTGGTCAAGAACGCTGGAAGGCATTGGATGCGAGCAGCGCAGGACCGATCGTCGTGGAGATCTTTGGGGGAGGCCTATGTCCAGCAGTGGACGTCTTCCGGGCTGCGATGATGATGATGATGATGAATCTATTGTTAATATTTCTTTTCAATATACTAATTACTAGTTGAGGGTCTATTTTATTTATATATTTATTGTTACCGACCCCACAGCTTTATAAAAAAAATATTGTATACTTACGACGGGACCTCTCCAGGTTCGATTCTATAATGCCTATCTGCCTCTGTTTCCGACATGCGGATATCTTCAGAGCCGGAAGGGCTCATATGTCGGCTGGAATGATGCTCTAGCTGTCGGATCAGGTCCTCTAAGTTGCGAATGCGGATGGAGCCGCAAGGTGGGGGTTCGTCCTCTTCGTCTTCAGCGCGCTGCCTACGTAGTTCCGCTTCGTGGATTTTCTCAGCGCTTGGTGCTCGCTCGCGCTTATACTCATAATCCTGGAGGGCTCGTAGATCGCCGGAGCCGCGGGATGCACCAGCGCTTGCTCGCTGCGCAGCCGCTGTCTTCAGCGCAACAATTATGTTTTCGTGGTACCCATTTAGATCCTGAAATTCATTATTTGGATATCTATAACCATCGCTATCCCAATATCATCAATGTAATAATACTTTATTATTAAATTTTCAGTAATGAGTGTTTTTATTAGAACCATTTTTAACTTTTTACTACTACGTATCCCAAAATTATTATGAGATGGTGATACGACAACAAACGTCTTCACTAATTATACATACAACTGGGGCATTGAGGTAGGATTAGAATGAAATTTTGGTTACTCAACGTATCCTTCGCCTGACTTCCTGACTTCGCTAGAAGTTAATTACAAAGGTTTCTAGAGGCAAACACATGGTAATTGAGCTAATAGACCACATTCTTATTATTATCTCATTACAATATTAATAATAATAAATTATTGTCATAAATAGAGCCAATAGTTATTTTTGACAGTAATCTATCCCTCATACAATTGCATCTGATATTAGACGAAACTGTATTTTTCGCGGATCAATTTTTTAGAGATTCTCCAATACTAGAACATAACTATATGTAACGTTACTTTTATCACTGAACGATGATCAAAGAAATGTAAGGTGAAGAATACCTTAAACTTATATTCCATATCTGCAACAGCACCGGCTGGTTCTTGACCGTCGGACTGCGAGCCAGCGTCCAGTTGCTCAGATTGCGAGTCATCAGCCCACTTGTCCTTGCCATCTACAGCACCGTAACCATGTTTCTTTAGTATACCCTTTTCTGGCAACTTCGCCATTGAGTTTGGTGCTACATCAATAAAAGCTATATCCTCCTCCCCTGAAATTGGGTACAATTTGTGTCACCAGACATGATAATAATAAATTGTAAATCTAAAGAAGTAACTTAAAGACTTTGATTTTCATTTGTAAAGGTAATTTGTTTGGTACTAATGTATTTATAACAAGGGTTCTGAAGCTATCATTAAAATTTTATAATTGTACAACTATGGTTTCATTATGTACTCCTATGACTAATTTACCTATGCTATGATGACTTACGCTTATGATGTATTGTCCATTATTTAGGATACCATTAACGATTTCTAAAGAGTATGCGCACGTTTAGTGTATAGAACATTTTGATTTGTTTATTAAGATAGAATGATAAAATAAAATAATTAAATAAATCGGTCATGTAAAAAGGCATATTACCTGAATGAATAGGTTCATCTTCACTACCAGAATGCACTCGTTTCATTTGTTTGTGATCCCTGAAATTAAAACAAACATAATACTTTTTATTATGAGTTCGTATTTATCTACATGAAGCATAAAATATATAACTCAAAGGTGACTGACATTGTGATCTATCAACGCACAGTCCAAACCACTAGATAGATCGGGCTGAAATTTGGCATGCAGATGGATGTTATGACATAGGCATCTGTTAAGAAAGGATTTCGAATAATTCTACCCCCAAGGGGATAAAATAGGGGATGAAAGTTTGTATGAAACTTTGTCAATTTTAAACCGATCGGACTGAGACTTTGCATGCATAAAGGTACTATGACGTAGGCATCCCTTAAGAAAGGATTTTGATTAATTCTACCCCTAAGGGAATGAACTAACGCGAGCGAAGCCGCGGGCAAAAGCTAGTGAAGCACAAAATAATATTACTTTCTTTTTATACATCAAAAATTATTGTTTCTATATTTTTCTGTTGCTGATTTAGTGAATCTTTCAGGTGTATCAAATATACGAGTATATTTTATGATCTTTATAAATATTTATCAGATCATACTATTATAATCTGATAAATATTTATTAAGATAAAATTATTTATAGTTAATAAAAGTCTTTTTTTATATGAACTACTCTGATTTTAAATCTGATCACCTAGATAGACTAAGAGGTCAGACGATCGCTTGGGTTGCCACAGACTGACTCAGAAAATAACAATTGAATAAATTTTATATTTAATTAAATGACAAAAGAATTTAACTTACGGATATCTACTGGTATTGCCAGCTCCAGACATGTGGTTCCCGTGTCTGAAGAACACTCTTGAGTCACCACGGCTAGAGAATTCAATGCAAAAGTTAAAAAACAGGATTGCAATAATGAAATTTTGAATATACCAGAAAGCCTTTGAAACCTACTCTTCATTGTAGTATTAGTTTCCTGCAATATAGCCACTACTGGTGTTGTCTAGATTATGGGAATATATAGTTCGGAGAATGTTTGGCTCTGTCAATGTATAAAAGAACTTATAGAAAAGTGATGACAATAATAAAAGATAATAACAAGGATATTGTAATTGAATTTAATTAAAATATCTAAAATACGTTGTCCTGTAAGCAAGAACTACATCATTGATTAGCAATCCAAATGATTCTACTTCTCGTAAAGTAAAAGGCTCCGTTAAACGATTACATGTAAATTTATGAATCTGATTTCATATAACTACAATAATTTGTAGCATTTTTCAAAGCAAAATGACAGTACCAATTATTCTGAACGAACTATAATGTGTTACAACAAAACTATGAAAGCGTGTTAAATAAGTCGTAGACGTGGATGTGCTCTGCACAGTTAACACTGGCCTCCATCTACCCTGCGATTGCGACAAGATGGCGCAAGTAAATTCGTTTCCATTATTCTTACAGCAAATGAAATGTGATCATTTCACACGTCGTCATATCGCTATCGCGGACATCCTATACCAATAGCAAGTTCCTTTGTCGTAAATTTAAAGCATTTCGGGAAGCCGTGACAAAAAGCGGTTATAATGTGAGCGAGAAAAAAATTCACAGCGGTGAGACGCGTCTGTAGTCTAATTCCGCGCCAAGCTTCGACGTACCTTAAAAGGTTTCTGTTTCAACACCAGATCCATTAAAAGAGGAAAGAAGATTTTAGTTTCTATAAACTTGTAAGTATAGCTACATCTACATGTACCTAAGCCACAAATTTATACTGATCTAGACGGTTAGTGTTAAGAATATTCTATTTTGTGGACATGTAGAAGATACTTTCCAATAACTTACAGCCACATCTTTGATTAGACGTTACTGAGATGGTATCCGTTATATTTATTTAAAATATAATTTCTGTAAGTATTGTGAGATATACAACATCAAATATTTTGTATTTGTTAAAAAAAGACTACCTATATAAGATCTAATTAAAAATAATTTCTTGACAACATACCTGACAGTGTTATTGAAGGAATGCATTTTGCCCCCGTCCAGTGAAATGTCTTCTTGAGAGTTATTAGAAGTCGTCGAACCAGCAGCGAAGCTCTTGGCGATGGGTTTTTTCACGTACGGTGGATCGTACTTTGGCAGCGTACTCTTTTTCCTGAGGCAAGCGTGGCGTGGGAACGCACACTCAGATCAATCGATTATGTTTACAAGATTCAATCAGATTGGGACGACGATCGGAGTCGGCAACACCCGGGATTGAAGATGTTATCGTCCCCGATTTCTTTGTGGGATGGAATAAAAGTAGACATATATTTTGACGACTGTCTTACTTCTGATTATAAACTCAAGAATATTAATTCAAATCTGAATTGTAATATAGAAAATAGCTTACTTAAGTATAGATACTCTACTTTTATTCCAACCCTCATGTGCCCTGATTTCAAAGACTGGCGCTTTTGGATATTTCAATAGATTTATTTAATCAAAGAATTTTTGAATTGGATTTAACTTAACTTTTCGTTTCATTCCTGATGGGAAATGATGTTATATGTGAAATCATATTAAGAGACTTGATCTTAGCTTAGTGATGTGTAGGTTCCTTCCAGTAAAAAATCTGAAGAGTATGGCATGTTGGATGAAAGAATATGTTCGTGTTTGTAAAGTAACAAAACTAGAGTTATGGTATGCGGTCTCACTGTTCTCTTTAGGGTCACGGATATTTACTGGAAAGATCCGTTCCTTAAAAGTAATATTAGGCATTGCTAACTAGATAGACAGCTGCTTGAAAGAAGAATCCGTGCATCGCACATTCGCTTCTCGTGCAAAAGTTAGTAAGAATTTAGTGGTAGTGGTAGTGATTGGTGACATTAGAGTCGAGCGATCTATATCTTCTTCAATCGTAGCGTAATACTTAAATTTGCCGTGTACATACCTCACGGTGGTCGCATTTAATAAGCCACAAACCATCCAGGTGCGGTGACGCAACGATACCGATGTGATAAGTGAATCGTCTCTGTAAGTTGCGTTCAAAAGTTAGATTGTCGGATGGTGGTGCGCACGTGCGCAACCGGGATACCAGAACCGCTATCGGAAGATATAGACGCGATCGCGCCGCCGGGTCGCAGTCGCGGGCGCCCGGGGACGCGGCCTCCGACCAAGAAAGGAAACGAAAACGAGTCACAGTTCACATAAGCCAATGCATACATCCAAGAGCCCAGAATCTTAAGGGTTTGAGTGGAGGTCTCACTCGAGTACAACGAGGAAAGCCTTGTCGGCATGCAGCGAGGCGGGCGGACGGCGGCGGTAGCGGCTCGGCCGCCGCGTGCGCCCGCCGCGGCCCGCCCGCCGCGGTCCGCCCGCCGCGCGGACACAGAACCACAGATCAAATGCAGTTGTGGCGCGCCGACGGACGCCGACGCGCCACCCGCCAACTCTAGCTCTACGACCACAACGTAAACGACAAAAATGTATTTCCAAAATAAAAACAAAACAAAACCAATCGCCGACGTAAAAACGAACAGAAACACCAACGCTAACGTCTAAAATAAACATACAAGTATACGAAGGTGACGACTTAAATTTCTTCTTAAAGACTACCTTTGGTCTGTTTTCTGCTCACTAACCTTAGGCACAGGGAGAAGTTTTTGTGTACTACGACTGACCTGTAGCAGAGAGCGCTCAGGGCAAATACTATGAATACCCCCCCTACCACAGACATGAGCACCGCCACGAGGAACACCGTGTTCGAGCCGTGGTAGTTCTCTGCGCCCAAAGAGAAAGGTGTGAGTGGCGGCGGCCGGGACGCGGGTCACGCGGGTGACGCGGGCGGCGCGGCCGGCGCCGGCTCGCGGGACGGGGGACGCGGGACGCGGGACGCACGCGGGACAAACGACAGACGACAGACGACACGACACCACACGCAGCCACGACATACAGTGCAACAACACCGAGTTACCGGCTGTTACCTGAAGCAGTACGCCATCCAGGCGAACCCCACGAACACGGACAGCACGACCGCGAGCAACAATATCACCATGTTCATGGTGCTCATCTTATTCCCCTCGTGCTCACCTGCAAGAGATGGGTCCCGCGCGTTAGTGCGCCGGCGCCGCCCGCGCCTGCAGCCACGTCCGCCCCGAGCAATGCTTCTCTCACTACTCACAACCATATTCCGAACTAGATCCGATTTATAGCAGTTTAAGTCTCTATTAAAATTCATTATAAAAAAAATTTGATGACGTCATGTTTAGAATTTTTGGAAAGCAGTGCTCGGTAGCGTTGGCCAATGTTTTTAAGACAACGTGACATTGTAGGGGGTATATTTTGTAAACAGAGAAATAGACACCTGAAATCACAAAAAATGTATAATTTACAGATAAGTGTAATAGTTTTGTAAATGTAAATTAATGAATGCGTAAGTAAAATAGGCTTATACAATTGTGTAAATTATGTTATCTGAAATTGATTATTGAATTATTCAGTTTTGAATTGGAATGCAAAAATTACACAAATTCACAAATTATTAAAACTGTATAAATTGTTTTATAATATATATAAATGGTAAACTTGACGAATTGTAAAGAAAGAAATTACTATATAAATTTATATATTAAGCAATATATTGTTAATGTTATTGTGTATAGTGGTACCAATACAATTTGCAATTGCAAATTTCAAGATATATTGATTTTCTATAATTTTTATATAACTAATGGCAAACGACCTATTAGCTTAGTAATGGTCAATGGCAACAGTAGCTAGCTATATACAGGAACAGTAAAATAGGTATCACGTCATAATGCGTGCCAATCCGTAGCACTAAGATGGTACAAGAATTTTGTAAAAGCAACAAAATTGTAATTATTGTGACATTGGAAATTGTATTGAATGCAAGCTAAAATGGCTTTCAAAAATATGTGGGTTATGTGCGATCCGCTACTGGGGTTGACTCACCATACGGTGTTTCCTTTTTAGTCATATTGTAGGCTGCTTTGGTGGCGTTCTCGGGGACGTATGGTGTTGGGGACGGTGGCAGGGCGTCGTGGTGAGAACAGTCGGGGCCGGTCCAACCGCGGTTGCAGACGCACTTGTTGAGGTTGGAGCAGACCTGGAAATATTTATTTTCAATTTATTAATAATAATCTCAGGACAATTCACACAGACTCAAGATAAGCTAGCTAAAGCTTATGTTATGGGAACTAGATAACTGATACAATTCCATAGATTTTTTTTAAATACATACATAATACACACAGAAACCACCCAGAACGACACAAACAATCATACTCGTGAATATAAATATTTGTGATATGTGAGGAATCGAAGCCACGACCATCGGAAGTAAGGCGGTATGCTAACCCCTAGAGCAATGAGGCCGTGAAATAATTTATAATATTAGTAGAAAATTACCCTTAAAAGTTTGAAGATCAGCATGGATGTTTTACTTCACTGGATTAGTAAATTAAGGTATATTAAGGTTTCTAAAGGCTCGATGATGTAAGTTAAATTACAGAAGAGTTTCATCCTTCATATATACATATATCCAACCAATCTAAATATATATAACTCAAAGGTGACTGACATAGTGATCTATCAACGCACAGCCCAAACCACTGGACGGATCGGGCTGAAATTTGGCATGCAGGTACATGTTATGACGTAGGCATCCGCTAAGAAAGGATTATTTAAAAGAGCAACACACTAGTTTCTTGCTCGTTCTTCTTGTGATGAGGCAGCTTTCCGAACGAGTAGTAGATAAAAAACAAATTGTTATGACTATTCAAAAGTGCTTAAATTAAGTTTATTGGAATAAATGATTTTCTATTCTATTCTATTCCCCAAGGAGATAAAATAGAGGGTGATAGTTTGTATGAAACATTGTCAATTTTAAACTCAAAAGTCTATTTATTTATTTAAACTATTTATTGCACCAGACAAAGAAAACCCACAAAATGATAGGTTACATAAACTGATACAAAACGCGGTCTTATCACTAAGCAATCTCTTCCAGACTACCAGTAGAGAAAGTAACATTAAGATGAGAAAAGTGTAGGTGATGATAAATGTCATAAATATATACACGCTGGCCCCGTCCCATCTACATGGAACCAACAACAGAGCTGGCGCGGCATGTGAAGCGACTGAAAAAGCCAAAATATGTAAATACAGGGGTCTAGGCTCCGAATATGATTTTGTCCCATTCGGTGTCGAGACCCTCGATCCGTGGGGTCCTAGCGCTATAAGACTTTTCAAAGAAATAACGAAAAGGTTAGTCGACATCACAGAAGACCGAAGAGCTGGCAGCTACCTTGGACAAAGAATTAGTCTAGCTATTCAAAGAGGGAACGCTGCCAGTATCTTCGGAACGTTGCCTAAAGGGACCCCTTTTAATAATATATTTTAGTCATCATATTATATTTTTTTTAAGCTTTTTAATTTTAGGTTCTTAGTTGTACAATTAGGTTATGTAAATAATAAATTAATATATTTATACAAGTCTATGTTCAAGAAACAATAAGAACGATAAAATAAATAGAGATGTTATTAGAAGCGATTTCATTCCGGGAACCTCTAAGCTTAATATTAAGCTACAATCAACCGAAGTAGAAATCTATTTAATCTGGGGAATACATTAAACTTGTGTTAGGTTTCAGTACAGCTCCGGAGGGGGAACCTGTTGAGCAAACAACCAACTCGATATCCGCATATTTGTTTGTTTTAATCTACCAATTGTAGATTTATATGCAATTCAAATTATTGAATCAAATTATTAAGTTAAGGTCAAATACTTGCATTTTATTTTTAACCCATAGTCCAATAAAATATTAAATTAAACCATAAAGTGAACTGTTTTGGCGCAATATATAAAAGTAAGTCCGCAAATACGTAAATAATAAGTATTTAGAAAGAAATTTTGATTTAAGTTCTCGAGAAAGGGATGAAAAATTTAAAAAAACGGGTTTTCAAAATGACTCGATGACGGTGAGAAATACAAAAATATGTTTTAAATAAAAGTTGTAGAGAAAAACAATCACTACAAAAAAGGTCCTATTCGTTTTTTGAATAAATTTATCAATATAATGATTGATAAATTTGTTATTATTATTATAACAATAGCTCGTTGGCTTGTTCCGGTTTTTACAATTTATAAATTATACAAATTTATATCATTCCACTCCAGTCACACACTCTTACATTTACATAAGTGCACTGTATAGTCATCACTTATTGTTTTTAGATCGACCCCCCGTCCAATTCAAACTTGGATCGATATTAGGACGGCCTGAGCCGAGGTTCTAACCCCTAGTAGGGCCCTCAGACTAAAGTCGTATCCGTTAGGCAGGAGTTGGCCTTCAGTCGCTCCATAAGTCCTTCTGCAGGTTTGGAGTGCCAACTGTACTCGCCCCCTAACGTCCGGTGAAGCTGTAAAGGCCAGCTGCGACCAACAACATTAGAGTAGTCCGAAAAAAAAAATCTTATTTTGTTAATCTACAGCTCGTCCTAAAAGCAGTCGCAACACAAGAAGAACTTGCAAGAAACTTGCGTTGTTCTTTTAAATAATTAAGTTGTAACTTTACATTTTCAAGTTGAAATGTGAGAATACAAACTTCTTACTAGCACTAATTCATAGAGTCAAATGTTAAAATAAAATAATAACGCATTTTTAGAATTGTGATATTTAAATCGAGCGAACACTGATTAGACTATTTGCCTTTGCAATACCATATGCTTATAGGTTACTCTATACTACCAAGTTTGAATTTAAAAATTAACCTGTATGAGTTTCTTTTCAGTTCTTCTCATCTCGAAATCATTCCGAACTGACGGTAGATTTGACATATCATAAGAGTCTGTAATAGATCTACATGAATAAAGATATATTGAATATGAATTTGAAAAATTGTCAGAAAATTTAAAAGAAAATTTTGAAGAAGTTATGGTGAATGACTAATATTTAGAATTTATAATGACTTGATTGATTTATAATGAGGATTACAGAATTAATATTTATACGCTGGAAACAGCAGAATATGATGAAACATATATTATATATAATTACCACCATTGTACATATAACATATTCTGACAAATAAATATATTATTATTATTATTATTAAGAATCCGCTGAATAAATCCGTTTTGTAATGTATGCGATTTCGTGTTGGTGAACAAAGTTTAATTGGTCCCGTTTTCTATTTTGCATATTTCGTCCAAAACATTGTTGTATTCTAAATAGGAATGTTGGGATTACATCAGCTTCTAGTGGTACATTTCCATATAAAATTTATTTTCCAATTCTCTGCTCTACGTAATGTATATTTTGCGTTCGTCTATTTGTTCAGGAATTTGTATAGTAACTATATTGTTGGTGCATTGCGATTTTGCGATTTCTAATTTTGAACCAGACGTAAATATACATATACTAGCTACTCGCCTCGGTTACGCACGGGTGTACAAGTACATTATACAGATAAACCTTCCTCTTGAATCACTATCTATTAAAAAAACCGCTTCAAAATCCGTTGCGAAGTTTTAAAGATTTAAGCATATATATAGACGGGCAGACAGCGATCGCGATTTTATTTTGTACTCATCATCATCTGCTTCATCCTTATCCCATTTATTTGTGGTCGTCGTAATATGTTTTTCGCTTCCATTCATCCCTGTTCGCAGTCATCGCGTTATTTACTTCCTTTCTTACCATATCATCTTTCACACAGTCCATCCATATCTTTTTCGGCCTTTCTCTGCCCTTATAACCATCCACATTCATATGTAACACCTTTCTTAAAAAAGCGATATTATTTTGTATTATGTAATGGTACATAAAAATCTATCCGTATCCGTATCCGAAGTCCTTCGAAATGGTTTAACTAGCTTTTATGAAATTTTTAGTACATGTATATATGGTAGCTTTGAGAAAAAATGTAGGCTATATATTTCTAGCTCTAGGACTTAGGAACTAGGGCGGTCCTATTCAGAATTAATTTATATCATAACATATGTATATATACATATAATTACGAACTAAATCACAGACATAATTGATTCTGGTGTCCATTAGAGTAGTTCTGAGATTATTAATTAAGCAGCGTAGCGTATATGGGATAATTGTCAAATGTACTTAAGTTCTAGTGAGACCTGCCAACTGACTTGATATTAATTATTAATTAAATTATTACTCTCAGGTATATAGCTGATTAATTAAGGTACGCATAAGTTATTGTCTCTAAAATCAACGACAGCATAGCCACCACTATTATCGCAGAAAAAATATCACTTTTTTTATTTTCTTTTTAAAATTGAGTTGTGTTTCAACTGCCATGATCAGGGGTAAACTGTAGAGCAGCGTGCTATATATATAGAACAATAATTTGTAGCTATTTTAATGCAATAGTGTGTAATAACCCTTACAGTAATCTAGGCTGCACCGTCAGCTACAAAATTCTTCCACGTGCAGTTTCGATGACGATGCAGCACTTTCCTATTGAATTAAAAATTATATTTCGACAGAACTGTAAGAACCGGCCTCCATCGCGGAGCTGCCAATGGTGTAGTAATTAATAAATATTTAATAAGAAATTATATATTTTTTTAAAGTCCTTCTCGGCGGTGATATAATTAGAACGTAGATAAACTTTAATTAAATAAAAACATAAAAGGCGATCAGAAAGTGTGTTAAGACGTGAAGATTGCAAACTAGACTGTTAGTATAGTTTGCCGAGATGAATATCGAGCGAGTTCCAATAGTAGCAACAAACGAAGACGTGACAACGAAAGATTTATTTACCATCTACCTGCTGCTGTTCAGTTTACCCGTGATCATGGCGGTTGATCCACTGCTGAAATATCGGGAACTCAATAAAAAAAAGTGGTAAGATACCGTGATTTACTATTATAAAAAATACGTATAAATTATACTTTATACCAATTTGATGTAACATATAATTATTTATTGAAACTCTAATGCACTGTGATATATATATTATATGTTCTATAATATATATCTGATCACTGTCCATACATGTAATATATATTTATACTTCATCAATATAATATATTTTTGTTCGTCCGCTAATCTTAGAAATTGGTTAATTTATTCATCGACGGCCTCGGTGTAGCGCTTCATTTCCGATGGTCGCGGCTTCGATTCCTTGCACGGTATGAACATTTGTATTCATGAATATTATTGTATTAGCGTGTGTGTTTTTTATATTATATATACATTATACAAGCCCTGTTGAAGGAATGGATGGCGCTGTGTTAATTGTCCTGGCTTATTATTTACTATTGTTATTTTTTTAATCCATCATATTTGAACCTACGATCACTTAAGTCGAGGTAGTAAATTTCTAAGTCACAACGCTCTCACAAAACGCAGAATTGAATGTACGTACTTAGAATTCCACATTCCAAACTCACTCGTGCAACACAAAGCCAGTGCATTTGTCAAACTTTTGCAGTTTCAAGTACCCATTGCTGTAGTAATACTCCGGGAACAGATGTAGATTCAGTAGATTAGAATTTAGATAATGCTGGATTTAGGTATGTACGCGAGTTCGGTAACTTTAAACAATCCCAAGTTTCGACGGAGGCTTCTCGTAACTTGTAACGTTTCAGTGATATTAGTAAAATTCTACTAAATGTTGAACGACGTTGGCGTATTGAGAATTTATTGAAATTACTAAAGTTTCGCTTAAAATTGTCTACAATCCTTCACATATTACAGCGTCGCTAAAGTATAAAACTTTAGCTTGAAGATTCATTTATAGTTAACATGGCACTAAAATATATATATCTATGAAAATATATAGTTATGTGTACTCAAACTTTGTGTATTGTGTATATATTATACATAATATATAGTTGATATCACTCTGAAATAATGTATAAATAAAAAGAACAAATTTGATATTATAATCTAATTATCTGTGTCTATCGACGACGATGTCGTTGCTTAGCATCTTGTTGATTGTAATATCTTCTTACTCTGCGTATTATACGTATTTAATATTGAATATTTCTTTTCGTTCTCCACTTTAATAATATCTATGTAGTTTGACGTAAAGTCTTCACATATACAACATATAAGCTACAATGCACCGCTTACTAATTTCTCAGTTTGCCTTATGGTTGATTGGTATGGAACGTCCGTTGATTTTAAATTCGTCATTTGTACATTTATATACATTTATGTATTAAAGTTTAAATATATAAATAATTAGCAATGTCCTACCATTTTATCCCATTAAGATAGTTCAATACATTACAATTATCCAGTATCATAAGTTATTTTGCTTAGGTTTCATCCGTCTTTATTTTTCCATCTTGTTTATAGAAATCTGTTGGAAACTACTTTTAAATCAAGTGGACTACTGTAAGCAAATTTGTCATTCCAATAAAAAAGTGAAATTCAACAAAATCGTCGAAATTAATCGCAAGAGAAAACGGAGTGAAGCCTCCTCCAATTTTAAAGTAGATAAATGAATTTTTATGTTACTTCAAACTATAATAAATTGTTCTTTTATCAGAGAGTTTGTGCCATTAAACAGTGAGCAAAGTTATAATTAACGATGTGCCAACACGTCTAGTTCGGGCAGTCCGGATAATTGAATCAAAGTGCGAACGTGCGCCGTTGCATGCCTCGAAATTTATGCGTTCATTATTAAAATTGGACGAAATTGAATTATCTATTTCATATAACTAAAGATAACCGTAGGGTTACTGTTGCTGTTCATTTTGCCATACAATCTGATGAAATGATAGTAGAATCTAAAAAACATGCAAGTTTTTTAAATAACACGATTTAGAAAGAATAGGTATAACTATTCTTTTTCTATCTGTATTTTCCTGTTCTGTAAGTATTTTATTATTAAAAGCTTGTTTTTAAATTAAAATATTTAATTCGTGTAGTAATTGAATGAGACTGTTTATGAATAGAAGAACCTCAATACAATACTTTACAATAATTAGCTTGGCTAACGTGGCCGAATGAGTTTCGTCAGAGGCACCTTACATAGATTGAGAGAGATTAATACAATCAGAAAAAAACGCATTTTCTGAATTTTTATCAAGGATTTGGTCGTTGCGACACATTTTAAATAAAGAGTAGAAAAGACCTTACACTGGCCTGTTTTTTTTGGAAATGTTATTTTTATTTTTTCTATTCTATTATATTCTGTATGCCATTGTGACTAAATTAAAAGTTCTAGGACCAGATTGTTTTTTCTTGTGTGGTATAGTATCAGATTTAAAAATAATAATTAATTAATTCTGCAATTCTGCACTTTCTCGGAAAATTCTGGAAGATTTTGACAGCATTGTCATATTTACTCACCCCTTTAGCAGAACACTCGTTGTTGTTATGGTCGGTGGGGCATTTGGTGTGGTCTATGTACGGAAAGATTGAGGTGCACGTTTGATTCACGCAGACGAGGTTGTCCCCACACGGCGTGCCGTCCCGGACCAGGCCAAGAGGCCCGATCTCTGAGTGCTTTGGAAGACCCGTAGTTGCTCTGGAAATGAGTGTATAGTATCGTGAAGATAACATAGCAGGAAACGATGTATACAATATTGCTTGAGTTAGCACTTATATGTTAGCTCAGGGAAACTTCCTGAAGGAAGCTCCTGTCTTCCTTATATAACTGTACAATGTCATTTACTTGTAAAAACAATGTTTTAATTGCATGTGGGAGAAAATACACTTACATTATTCTTAAACGCTATAATTATATACGTGCGAGGTCGAATTTTTTGTCTTTGTTAATTTCAATGTGGTGATGGAATAAGAATATAATATACATATCATTACGCTGTTTCATCCCAAGAAGAGAGGAAAAAAAATTCAAGTATATAGAAGGTAGAAAGCAATTTATTTATTCCAAGTTACCTGGACAAGATTATATTGTACCACCATTGTCGCTCAACATTCACACATTAAAGGTTGTCTAATCACTAGTATCTAGTACTATCATTTTATTAATGTTAAATATTGCTATAAGAGATTTCATGTTGTGTCGTTAGGTTTGGTTGTTTTGAGTAGGGCTAAAGAGGCGCAAGTAAACGCGTAGGGTCCCTATACTACTACAGGGCACACCAACAAGGTCTACTTAGCTTGGGACTAGATTAGCTTAGACTACTAGATGTCCCTATGTGAATTTTCCAGGGACATTATTACTACTATTATTCATGAACTGTTTAATATATATTGTGTAGTATGAACTATATAGTATTTAGTATACTTACTTGCATTCATACTCATTACCCTTGATGGTAATAACAGTTCTGGTGTAGTATTCATCCATACCCGACACTACTGGATATCTATTCCCGAGTTGACACTGCAGAGAACCGCAACGAACGTTTCTGAAACACGATTTAGAATAAATATAAATATGTATAGAACTTGAACGTAATCTTTGAACATTTTAAATTGTCAGTTCAAAAGTAGTATCCATTACCTTACCTGAACGACAATGACGCACGTAATACGGGTGCTTATGTTATTTTTGAGGAATAAGATGTCAAGCCTCAAATCCTAACAGCTATAAGAGCTAACAAGATTATTAGGAAACATAACAATATTAAACCAAAAATTACACTGTTGAACGATTTAGATCTTTGATTTAATGTATATTATACAAAGACATTGGAAAAACAACGTCAAGTATTTGATACTTGATGTTGTTTTTCCAATATCTTGTAAATAATTTCGAATAGTATTATCAAACACTTACTCAGTCTCGCACTTAATATAATGCCCACTGCTATCTTTCCCACAGTGCCCAGTCACAGCTCCCTTCGAGTTGAACTGCTCAAAGCACTCTTTATCAGCACCAACAGTTCCAGGGCCCCAGATCCTTTCACACTGGAGGCTTAGCGTAGGGCACTGTCCTGCAAAACAGTAGCCTTTCCCTTCTTCGCAGGGCTCGCCATTCTTCCGATGTGCATCAGCTGGACAAATACCTGACAGGCCTGTGCAGGTCTCTTCTAAGTCACATTCGTTGGTTGCGTCTCGACATACTACGCCTCGAGGTTTTAACTGTTGAAAATCGGAGTAAGGCATTCTATCGTGAACAAATTTATTTAAAATTTTGCCAGCAAAATGAAGTTTATTCTAAAAAAAAAATTAAGTATACTAAATAGAGATTAAGTAATTTTAATTGCATAGTCATTGCAAAGACTTGCCAATATATTGCGTAACTTAAAAACAAAAAATCATATTATGCAAAGCTAATTTCAAAAAAACATCATTTCGCTGTTTCACGTGAACGTGTAAACAAACTGCAAAATAGTACAATGACAGAAAGGCAGAGAAAGTGTTTGTTCATCGATTACCTGGCATCTCTCACAACATTCTCCCGAAGCGCACTGGGCTTCTTTGGTAAGACGGCAGGTGAAGGGATCACAGCAAGGATTCATGGACTGACAGTCGGCGATGGTGCCACAGTCACACTCCTCGCCTTCGTCCAGACGGCCGTTGCCGCATTGGTGATGAATTACCAGCTATTAACGAAGGACAATATCTCATTAATTATCTATTATACCTCTGCCATGAGGCTATCGTCATTATTATTGAGATTTGTGAGCGCATATGGCTAAAAAGCATGCATACCACTTTTATGTGTACAAATGTATACAATATCTTTAAATATTGGATATTGAATTGGCGATGGAGTAGTTACAAAAATTTATGAATACGTCATCAATTTTTGTTACGAAATGTTGGTCGCCGAAACGTCAAGACTAGGCGATCAAACTATATCTAAACTCTATTCAATGTCTAAGGATGCCTTATTTAGAGACGAAACACGTGACGCAATAGAGAAGATCGTAACGCTTCCAGTAGCGGTGGTGAGGTTTTCGCATTGAATATTTGTGGACTCACACATGCTAATTGTAGCGGAATTAAACAAAATAGTATAAATACTAATGTTATTGACAATTACATTATTTTTATTCCATGAATCTTTGCATACAATACCTCCCAAACTCAATACCTATTCAATAATACTTAGTTAACAAGACGTAAATGTATTGTAAGCAACATATTACAAACTGTACTCGGGTAAGCTCTCGAGAACAACAAATACGTATAGGTAAGTACACTGAATTTCAATTGGATCGCGATTCAAAGCGGCGCGAACTGAGGGCTTCCGAGTCGACCTTGAACAACCTACACGTGTAGGATGGAAAGAGACAGGTTATGGCAAACGAAACCAAGAAAGTAAAGCACTTCGCTAGCACAATCATCTCCCGATAAATATGTAAACGCGCCCAATCGAAGCGCCAATGGAGGCAAGCTGCATTATCATTCGGCGGTATGTAAATTTATTCCAATAAACCATCCCGGCGCGCTTCTGTTATTATATATTCGCAAACGACGAGATAATTCTGTGCGCGGGCAGGCCGTATTACCATAACTTTTATTAAAGGAGTGGGCCTCAGCAAGGAGCCCGGCCGGTGACAAACAATGCTCCGTTCCTGATTAATTTTCGACGTGGAACTCTGTTTTGCATTCGAATTAGCTGCGGCGTGTCGGTGGCACAGTGCCAATGACGTGACGAAGAATTGGAATGACTCGGAACTTTCGTCGAGTTCGTGGAGGCTAAGTGCTCGGTATTAACGTGACTTGCTATTGTGTCCGTTAGAATTGCAGCCGCTGCTTCAAGTGCTGTTTCTAAATTAATTAGAGGACTCGCGCTAACATTTATTTCTGTTCCTACTAAATTATTTATTATAGTATTTTCTTTATTAATTTTGTGTAATGCTAATGTGAAATTGGGTTTGTTTTAGAGTGTTTGTTTTTACCTTACTGTATTTTTTTTAACAATCCAATTTACACATATTGATAGTTTCAATCTATTCGATGAATTACCCTGTATATTTCTTTTTATTAGTATCATTGAGATAGATTACTGGTCTAAGTTATATAGCATAAAAGTAACATAACAAATTAAAGTTCGGAGTATTATTTACAAACGCTTATTACAGAACAACTTAATAATTGATAAATCTTATCAATTATTAAGTTATGTAATATTATAATCAAACGCTATAAATTCAGAAAATAATAAAAAATGCTATCGAATTATGAGAGACTACCTTTGACATATAAGCTACATAGTTTACTACTGTTTACTAAAAATTTCATTAAACTCCGTTCTGTAGTTTATGCGTGAAAAACTAACAATCCATATTATCTCTGATCAACGCGACGGTAGACTGGTAGAGAACGCCATCAGGTACTAAGTTCAAATTCAAATTCAAAGGTACATATAAAGGTAAAACATAGATAGGTCAAGTTTCTCCCTCTTATAATAATAGCAATTTGTATTCGAAATACTTTCAATATTATTCAATACCTCGGTAGGGGTATATTCAAATTTGTATTCATTCAGTGTATTTGAAGACGATAAATCTAAGATATTTATATACAAACCCACGCTCCGTTCCCCATTAGGCGGGAAGGGATCATGCAGCACTTGTTAGTATTGTATTATTTTGTTAGAATAGACCGTTCAGACGGAGTTCTCATTGTTTAAACGGTAAGGATACCGGCATTAGATCCACTAATTCCTTGTTATAAACTAGTAATTCTTCCCTGCTTCACACAAGTATAATAGGAGATATCTATACGAGAATTTTAAGATACTTTATGTATATTATTTTATATTTTTTCAGCACAAGACCTGGAACTACTCCAGTGTGTTGCCACGTGTTATCTTACAAATATTATAAACACGAAAGTTTGTGAGTATGGATGGACGTTTGTTACTCTTTCACGCAAAACTACTGAACGAATTTTGGTGAAAATTTACAGTAATATATCAGAATAACACACAGGCTAGCGAAATATAATGATATAATTGTGATGCAGACGAAGACGACCAATTATTTATATATTTAGACCTGCGCAAAAGTCTCTTAGTAAATATATAAATAATTGGTGTACATAAAAATACATGAATACATATCTTACCTCATTAGGTTTGTTCAGGAGACACAATCCCTGCCCAATCCTCAGTTCGTTGATGTAATCATTCTTGGAGCAATCAGAGAACTTATAAGGTTGGACGTTGTCAGAGCCGACTATAGACTGCGCCATGATGCAGCCGTGCCAATCCCGACAGAAACACTGCTCTCTTCCATCGTCATGACCCATTCCTGGTAATCAAAAGCGTCGTTATTTTTAAACTTTCATGTTTAATGTACATTATTTATATTATTAACCGGGTCTTAAAAAACAAACAAATAATTTAATGGCAAATAAGACGTTTCGATTAGGTTGCACTAGCCGTGGTCACGAGCTGACTGAAGTAACAGCGATGTCAATGTTTTCTACATTAGTAGTGACAGCAGTTTTTTCATCTACCGTCACTAGATTGTTCAACGAAAGTTCGCTGCACAGCACTCACGGCATCCGTACACTTACTGACTGTTGTTATTATTTTATCAAAGTATAATATTATAGGCTCATGCGAGGCGAGGTCGTGTACCGACAGATAATCATATACAGAAGCTTTATTTAATAAGTATTTCTGAATACTATAATAATGTATATATAATATATCGTGAAGCAAAATCTTTGTAGCCCATTTTATGAAATTTGCGCGGATAGTGCGGCATCCAGTCCCACGGCAAGCAGAGCTTGTGTTATAGGTACTAGACAACTGATATAAATACTTAGATACCCTATAATATATATAGAAAACATACAGACCGATACAAACAATCATACTCATGAATACAAATATTTACACCGTGCGAGGAATAGAACCCGCGACCAGTGGAGATAAAGCCGTGTGCTAAACCGCTAGAACCGAGGCCGTCGCCTAACTTAGATACCCTATAATATATATAGAAAACATACAGACCGATACAAACAATCATACTCATGAATACAAATATTTACACCGTGCGAGGAATAGAACCCGCGACCAGTGGAGATAAAGCCGTGTGCTAAACCGCTAGACTACCGAGGCCGTCACCTATGTGGCTTTATGTGCCACAAAAATAAATAGGCACCTATTCAGCATAAAGCTACAGATTGGCTCTTGTACTTATATATTCTTATGTAAATATATTAGTATTGATACATTTACCTAAGTCAGGTAAATACCAATAGTAAACCTTTCTCCATTACTGCTCTTCAACCGTTTTCTGTTTTAACCCAATGGTTAGCTAGTACAGACTGCCATATGGCATTAAGCTCGCCAATTGTACATGTGTGGCATACTTATACACAATATATATATAGTGTATAAGTATTACTATATACTATATTAATAATATAGTATTAAACATACATACATATATTACACTATATATGTGAATACATACTGTTGGCGACCGACCGCCGAACTCTTTTGATATTTTTATTATTTTTAAATTTATATTTTTGAAGAGTTCTTTTTATATGTCATGTTATTTGATATACTTCAATTTATTTTATTATTCTATCATTGTCTTTCATATAGTTCGCAATTGTACATATTAATATATTATTATTGCTGTTTTCATCATTTAGACACCCATACAGTCCACCGATCCATTATATTTTGGTCCTTTCGTCGCCGTTATATTGAAATTTCATACATTTTGGTCCTTTCGTCGCCGTAATACTGAAATTTCATACTTTTGGTTGTTTTCGCTGCCGTAAGTTGAAATTTATCGACCTAAATTATTTTCCAAATTTTCACTTTCATATTGCATTACATTCTATCTTCTATCATTTCTATTTTCCATCATACATTTTCATTGTTTAATATGGTGGAAACACGTAGCAAAACCAATTCAGTTGCGAACCTAATGGCTGTAGAAGTCGGACGGCCGTATTACGATCACTCCGAACAATCGCGCCGCGTATGGCCGGCTTCTACAACCACAGTTGAGGATGTTTCGGCATCATTGGCTAGAACAGTTGCACATACGGCGGACGCCTCCATCTCGATACAAGCATCTTCTTGCTGTACCAAGCGTTCTAGCGACACCACTAGCTCATGTCGAGTCGATGCCGATATATCTCTCTCTCATAAGACAAAAAGCTGTTACAGAAACGAGCGATCGCGATCTTCGCGGTCGTCCGCGATTGTCCGCGCTCAGAAGCTCGCCGTCGAAGCAGAACTCCTGCGATGCAGAGTGGCACGGCAACGTGAACTCGTACGTCTTCAGGCAGAACGCGAGCAGAAACTAGCGCGTTTGGAGTTCGAGGCTGAGCAGAGAGAGTTGGAAGCGAAGCTCGCCGCACTGGATGCCAAAGATAAGTCTGCACATCGTAGTTCTCGTCCTTCTATTCGCGATACTAAAAAACGTACCGCGACATGGGTTTCGGAACACAATGCAACCATGACCATGGTAACGCATGTGAACATACCTGGTAAGGAACCGACTGTCACCTTGGATGATATCCAAGGCACCCCATTACAGCCGGCCATCCTTTCCAACACGGTCCCGTCACATGTACCACATGTCAACCATGCAAACGAACTGAAACCTACACGTATCATTGATGACGATAACTGCGCATCCTTAGTGCGACTTCCATCAGTTGAGCTTCCACTAGCGAACCCGGCACCACAGCTTACTCACAAAATTAGTAGTAGTTCTAACTATTCAAAAAAGCCCAATCAGAGTAGTTACGAAACAACTAAACGTAATTATTCCACAGCCGAAAACTTAACACGTTTATACAACGCTTTTCGGGGACCGGCGTACGAGATCGTGGCGTCACTCCTGCGGACCTCCCGAGAGCCTTGGGTCGTCATGAGCGCACTGGAGCAGGCATACGTCCGATCAGAATATATCACCACCCACGTGATCGGGAAGTTACGCAAAACCCCTGAGTTAAGTTCTCCTGAATCACGTAATTTTCAATCTGTGACAAAAATAAAGTTGCTATCTCAACTTTCATTACTAAATGAAAACAAGCAACTACTTTATAATGTTGTACAAGATTACCTTATTAAGTCTCACAGTACTATCAGACCAACCCATGAGCTTTGCCACAAAGATAGCATGCATTGGACAAAATACTTATATTTCAATGCCTTAAAACTATATGACCCATATGGCTTATTAAAGCTAATTGTCATTTCGGGTTGTATTGTATTGCAGAAAATGTGTGAAATAAGTATTTACAGGGACTCTTCTAAGATATCTCATAATTATAATTTTGAGAACAAAGAGAACTGGTTCACTCGATCACAGAGTGCCACCAACATTCCGCGTGCCAGTATAATTCCGCGTTGGTTACAAATTATACAAGCATTGGTTACAAATTACAAACCTGCGTTGCTTATGACTTATGACTATGGTTTTGACTGTACCTTCCTTGTTAGTACTGAGGTATGCATCGCACTACAACAACCACATTTTATACCTCAATTGAGATGGTTGGCTGGCGCACTATTCTTTTTAGTACCATCACTTTTTGGGTTGACTGAAAACGCCAGCGACGCAGAGGAGACCGCGCTAGGATTAAAACCGGAACTAGTGGGGTTGTTCTCCTGCGTCCCCTTACCCGATCCTCCATGGCTCCGCGTTCTCCAAGGTGTAGGTCTATTTCGGCTTAAACTGTCTCGGCCAATAGCCTTAAATTCTAAATTGTTTTTAGATGGCACCACATTTCCCTCACGACTTTGTGCAAGAGACGTCACAGAAGCCCAGAAGACGCTACCTCAACAAGCTGAAATAGACAACTTCCCTGAAGAGCGGAAAGCCAAGCAGCCCGTGCCCAGCAACGGTCACATTGCAACACGCACCGGTACCAGAGGAAAGCGGGTTATTACGAATACACTATCACTCATTATACTACGTTGCCGTCGCTACTTTGTACGACTTCTGATGCTCTATCGTCATATCCACCCAGTACAATAGAGACAGTCTGGAACTTAAGAGCACAAAGCACCATCAGCATCGTAGTACATACCATTATGCAGTACCGAAGATGGAATGGCAGGTTAATTAAGCCACAGACCGACTACGTACCGCTACAGCAGCTTGATCATTGGAAAAGTCCTCAGCAGACTTCATACATAACTTGGCTACGTTGGCCCTATCAGAGTTGCTGTACGTCAACGCCAAATTAGTACACACGTAAGACCGGAAAAAGATGCTGCGTCTAGCTGACTAACTTCTGGGCACGGTAACTGCATACATATTTGCCGACACTGCGACCAAGAGAACTGCACGAGATGACGTCAACATAGTCGAGGGCGATGTGGTGTTCATAGTTAAGTTCATTTTAATTACAATAGAAGCGCGGCCGGTCACCACCGGTAGTTAGTGTTCCACTGGGGGCCCGGTATGTTGGCGACCGACCGCCGAACTCTTTTGATATTTTTATTATTTTTAAATTTATATTTTTGAAGAGTTCTTTTTATATGTCATGTTATTTGATATACTTCAATTTATTTTATTATTCTATCATTGTCTTTCATATAGTTCGCAATTGTACATATTAATATATTATTATTGCTGTTTTCATCATTTAGACACCCATACAGTCCACCGATCCATTATACATACATAAAATACTTTTAATAGCAATTATATATTTTATAGTATAGCTTTCTAGCGCATTGCATTGCGCATTACATAAATCGCTCAAAATCCGATGATTACTTTCAAATATTTAAACATACATAGGGATCTGTCCCTATAGTATATAGTATATAGTATTAAACAAAGTCGCTGTCACTGTCTGCAGTGACAGCGACTTTGTTTAATACTATATGAACTGCCTAGATCTCTGTTTACCGAATGGTTAACTGGGAGAAAATACCTCATGGTGTTAAGTCCGGCATATGCATATAAATATAGATGCATATGCATCTAAATTAGTGTACTTGTGCATAAAAAAATAAATAAATAATGATAGTGCAATAAAGGATAAATAAATAAATCTATACATATAAATAAAATTGGAGTGTCTGTTTGTAATATTGAAATAACTGTTTTTTACTACATGCACATGAATATATATACGGTACATATACCAAAATAACAATTTTTATAATTTTTGTCTGTCTGTCTGTCGGTCTGTTTGTTCCGGCTAATCTCTGAAATGGCTGACCTGATTTTGACAGAATTTTTTTGGCAGGTAGTTCATGTAATAAGGAGTGACTTAGGCTACTTTTATTTTAGAAAAATAAAGTTAAATTCCACGCGGACGAGGTCGCGGGAACAGCTAGAAATAAATATAACTAAAATATATCTGTATATGTATGAAACTTCGAGTTCTGTTATTTATTACTTACCAATATTGTGTCCAATCATATGAGCCATAGTGCCAGCAAGGAGATGAGGCTCGTATGTATTTGTGTCTACCGATATTCCAACAGACTTCGGAGTGCACAGTGTATCAGGAACAGATATACCAGATTCTCCACCAGGGAACGTTAGACCACTGAAACAAATAGTTTTCATTATTATTCCAATAAGTAGTAAGGTGTATCAGGCGTCTGTAAGCTATGGTAACCGTTTGGCATCAGACGGGCCGTATGCTTGATTGCCACCATCGTAGTATAAAAAAAAGAAAGCAGGGTCCGGTATGAAAAGTGGGAAAGATAGTGAAATTAGTAATTAACAGCAAATTTGTGCTCGTGGAATTAAAATTAATAAATTTTATAAACCTACTAGCTCCTCGCCCGGGCTTCGCACGGGTGTGCATGTACTCGTATTATATATAAACCATCCTCTAGAATCACTCTATCTATTACAAAAAAACTACTTCAAAATCCATTGCATAGTTTTAAAGATTTAAGCATATATAGGGACGGACAGACAGCGACAGCGACTTTGTTTTATACTATTAAGATTATAAATGCGGAAGTTTGTGAGTGTTGATGGATGAATGTTTGTTACTCTTTTAGGCAAATACTACTGAATGAATTTTAATGAAACTTTACAATTGTATAGCTTATACATCAGAGTAATACATAGGCTATAATATCATAAGGATAAAACCGCGTAGACAAGATAAATACATCTCAATCAATAAGTCGCCAAACTGCAGAACAGTTTGTCGCCAAGATATAGCTCAGATTTCTTAATACTTACCTACCTAGATACATATGTATACAGATATTTAACAATAATTAACTTAGAATTTATTTTTAACATTACGTAACAGTGTTTTTTAAATAATGAAGTAAGTTCCTAATTACTTCCTCAGAGGTATACATATAAGTTTATCCGAAACATACTCTTAATTACGGTATTTTAAGCTACGAAAATTATGAAATGACTCCATAAGACCATTATTCTGTCGTAAAACAGATTAAGCGCACGTGTCGAGCGGTCCTTCGCTTTACCGCGGCAAATTAAATACAGCGCTGTGATTTTTAATATAAGGTTACATATTCAAATTCAAAATATCTTTATTCATGTAGGTCTATTACAGACTCTTATGATATGTCAAATCTACCGTTAGTTCGGAATCATATCGAGATGAGAAGAACTGACTAGAAACTCAGCTCGTTTAATAAAATATAAAATAAGAATTCTATATTCAAAATTGGATCAAAAATATTTTATTTTTTAAAAGCCATTAAAGCGTGCAAGATGCGCACAGAAACTGTGTCTATACAGCTGTCGTACCACAATAACATTCTCCCATCAAGATTAAGAGCAGTTTCTTTTAATAATATTTGTAATTGTAATGATTTCAGATAATTAGTCAATTATTTATATACAGATAATGGTAGGACTGCATTATAATAAGAATTAATAACGTAACAGAAAAGAAATGGATACCGCAGCCTAATCCACAAACTAGATTTTTTTTATATATACAAAAACAAGTGATTCTCTATTAATAAAATATAATAAATATATTATAATATACATCTATCTCAAATAAACAATAAATAAAACACTTTATGTATATATAAAAAGTAAAATAAAAAAAAGGTTTAAAAATGTGCTCTATGATAAATTGACCATAACCAATAATTCAATATCTTCGTAATACAACAGTATTAAATTCTTTTTAAAAAAAAAGCCGTAGATACTGTGATTAGGATTAATCATCCTGTCATTGTGACAGAAACTAGGATAAATGGACTTGTTATTGTGAAAGGAAAGAAAATTAAGATTTTATGCGTTCCCGCGCTTTTTTGACACATTCACAATTAACGAGACTTTTTTCTTTTTAATTTTCTTTGTTTTACAAACGTGCTTAGACAAGCAAAGAGAATTATTAATTGGATATTAGTATGTATAATTGATTGTAGTACTTAAAAAGTTTTTATCTAAACCCATACATATATTTATAGGAATTCTATTTCGAAAATCAGTTTTAGTAATTTTATTAATTGATAACTAGCGCCCCGTCCGGCTTTGCATGAATTAATTTCTTTGCTTGATTTATAATAATAATAATCTCAGGACAATTCACACAGCGCCATCTAGACCCAAGTTAAGCTAGCTAAAGCTTGTGTTATGGGTACTAGATTACTGATACAAATACGTAGATAATTTTTTTTTTCGTAAATACATACATATTATACATAGAAAATACCCAGACCGATACAAACAATCATACTCATCAATACAAATGTTTGTGCCGTGCGAGGAATCGAACCCGCGACCATCGGACGTAAAGCGGTGTGCTAGACCGCTAGAGGTCGTCAAATCAATTTATATAAGTATATTATATTTATAATACACGTATTTTACATATAAACCTTCCCATTGAATCACTATCTATTGCTGTAAACTATATTAAAATCTGTTCCGCAATATAAAAGATATTAGCGAACAGACAGTAAAAAGGACAATTACATTTTAATGTGTTCTTATTTAGTGTAAACATTACTTTTATATATATTTAAATTTTTTTTTTAAATGATCGCTTGGAAATTCTACTATGTTCATGAACAACTAACTCTATACATGTTTGTCAGCATTTATTGAGTAATTTAGTAAAGATTATTGTAATGTGATTGAATTATTTGAAATGAGAATATGTAAAATAAACTTTTTTTGAAGTAGCTTAAATTGCAACGTTTATATGTATACCACTTTATTGCGTCTAAATAGCTATATACATGATAATAGTACCTATATAAAACATTATATAACCTGCCTATGAAAAGATAGTATCTTCGTTAATGTTGTTCCCTTATAACAAGAGGTCTATTAAACTCGGCGGGTTTCAAGCAAATCCTATTATGAAGTGGCTATATTAGACTCCAAGCCTCATGCCTTCAATGGACAAGTGTCTATCATCTATGGGATCCTAAATACTCCTATTGGGTGTTGTTAATGAAATAGTCTTCCATCATTGTTAACGAGACTACATTATCTTAAAGGACTTCCAATAGATTAAATATAGCGTTTGGATTTGATATTGTACACACGAATAAATAAAATTGAAATATGTAATTTTCAGTTAACATTTTTGAACTAAATGCACATGAAAGTACATAATTACAACAAATATTAATATTTAATTTCTTTTTCTATCTGTTTGTTCTTGGTAATCCCAGACACTGGGTGAACCGATTTTGGAGGGACTTTCACTCGCAGATAGCTAATTTTATAAGGAATAACATAGGCTACTTTGATTTTATAAAATTTATTTATCATTTCTAGAATAAATTATAATTTATTTTAATAAAAGTGACCTAATCTAATCAAACTCTTGTAGATAACTCTGTTTAATCTCAATATAGATTTCGTTTCGATCCATTTTTGTATAGTTTATTTTATAATTGATGATAATGGAATGGTACATCCGTCTGCGCCAACGGTTTACACTGGTGAGGCTCCAGTGAAGGATGATAGAATAAGCATGAGATTAGGTCAATTAACACATCATGATAAATACACTAAGAATTTATCACGACAGTTTCCAGGGAGAACCGCGTGGAGATAAACCTAGCATGGTAATATGCTAGCAATGAGGTCATCTAACCACAAACTAAGAATCATAACAATCCTTTTTTGTACAGTTGTTTTGAATTTTTAACTGACGTACTATAGGAGCTAAGTGGACACTACAGCAGATTTAAATTTTAAATTTCATTTTGGGAATGAATCATCTTCTTAATTGCGATACTCTTTAAACAGAGTTCATGTGTATTGTTGATTTATTTTATGTAAATTTATGTATATGTATGTGCAATTATAAATAAATAAATATATATATATATATATATATATTTATTTGTTTTTAGAATTTGGAAATATCAGGTATTTACTATGACGTCATCAAGTAAAACAGTCTTAAACAATTCGACTATTATACCTCAATATTTCTAGCCGCAAAATGAAAAGCAAGTGAGTTTTAAACAGAATGAATGGGGTAAGATTTAGGTACCATTACTGACAACTTTGTGCAAAATCTCCATTTGACTAATACAAATCTCATTCCAGTTGCTTACGGGATAAATCTGTTTGCAAGTTATTTAATGATTCGGTTTAAATGATAAACAGGATTACGCTACGGAAGCGGCTCGAGCGGAATATTTGTATAGAAATGCAAGAAGATTTCGGAACCGCTTCGGTTGGATATTTAGATTCTCAAACATTCTCGCTTGCTTATATTCTCGTAGACGAGAATGTTTATACTTTATAATTGGACATTTTATGAATTACATTTTAACGTTTCATTTCAGTTTAATTATGTTGTTGTATCTTGAAATAATGTTATAAATAGTTAGTAATAGTTTATGGATTTTTGTTTAATTAACCAACTACAAAAAAGGACATGGAGATTCTCTATACGGGTGATTTTTTTTATATTTGCTACTTCATAGCTCTATCAGTTATAAAGAGATTTGAAAAAACTGTTTTTATTCGAAAGAGTATACCTTTCAGTATGGTCTTAATTCTTTTTTTACATAATTAATTTTAAAATCTTAAAGTTCTTTTTTTAGTTTATGAACGAACTCAATAATTTACATAGATGATTTTAAAAATATGCATTCTCGTTTATTGTTCTATGATGCTGTAAATGCCAGCTGCGAGCAACAGCAGTATATATGTATATATATAACTAGCTACTCGCCCCGGCTTCGCCCGGGTGTACACGTATTATATATATATATATATAAACCTTCGTCTAAAATCACTCTATCTATTAAAACATGCTTCAAAATCCGTTGCATAGTTTTAAAGATTTAAGCATACATGGGTACAGATAAACAGCAACAGCGACTTTGTTTTATACTGTGTAATAATAATTAAAAGTTAGGGAAAAATAATATAGTTTACTTACGTGAGCAACTGTGTAGTGTCTTTATCAACCTTGAACAATTTCCTGGCTGTGTAATCGCTGAATTTGAGTATAGCCCGCGTTATGTCCTGTTTCCGGTCGATATCCGCCTGGTCTGCACTCTGCCAGGACTCTATGTACACTAGTGACACCCTCGTGTTTAATGTGCGGAAATACTGAAAAAAATATACAAAACAATGTTTTACCTTAGTATTTCAGATACTATATTCCAGATTAATAATAATAATCTCAGGATAATTCACACAGAGAAACATACAAAACTCTCGTAGCAATACAAATGATTATCATGAATACCAATATTTGCACTGTGACAGGAATTGAACCTACGACCATCGGAAAGTGTGCTGAACTAGTCCACTAATAAGGTTGTCAGTTATAAGTAGATACATTCGTATTACTTATACAATATTAATTTATGTATATTTGCATATATTACATTCTGATATTATTTCCTTATTACATTCTAGCACCTCATTATTTCTCTCTAAAACAAGTTTGTAATAAATATACTGAAACAACACTTTACCAACTTGAAAATAGTGCAACAAAAGTTGTTTTTTTTTTTAATTGTTCTCCCTATAATTTGTACTATTGCGAAGTCAAGCCGCTAGTAGGTAATATCTCAAAATCCTTCCACACTTACAACCCTTACATGGAAGCGTGTCAGTTTTGTTTATCCCTCTTTCTGCAACCTCAAACTGTCAACCCTAATATTATTACAGCTGGGCTCTACGTAATCCCTGCTTTTTATAGTCCACCGGTACGGCCACTTCTAGCCCAAGTCCAACAATTTCTGTACAATTTTGAATTTTATTACAAAAGGCATAAGGGTCGTGCGGCTGTGTGGGGTTGGGCTGTGGTATTCGCGGTCTGCTAAGCTTGGGCTATAATAGCACAGCCGAGTAAATGGTTATTGCAGCAACGGCCAACGGAGACATGGTTCAAGGATACTTGGAATTTTATCGCGATGCCTTTGTCCGGGCCAGTGGTTGTGTGCGTGCTTTTTGTAACATATTTTCGTGTACGTGAATTTCTGCTCTAACGTTACACTGGAATTGATGTTTATAATCCTTACACGTATATGTTCCTGCAGAGAAAGTCCAACAAGAGTTTTGAAAAGATTGTAAATTGCGAAAAATAATGCTGCTAATGTATCTATATTTATCTATATTTGTCTATATTTGTATGTATCTATATTTGTCTGTTTGTTAACTTTTCACAACTAAACGTGTGAAGATTATTTAATATTTGTTACTTCATAACTTTGTCATTTATAAAGGGATAAGAGATTTGAAAAAAATTTATTTGTTTTTATTTGTAAGCGTATACTTTCAGTATGGTCCTATTTTTTTTTGACAAAACACGCATATGTTCCTGCAGAGAAACCCTGACAGGAGTTTTGCAAAGATCGTAAAATGGGAAAAATTATGTTTCTTATCTATCTATTTATATTTGTCTGTTCGTTACCTTTTCACAATTAAACGTGTGAAGATTATTAATGTAATTTGGCGGGAATATATACATTGATACGTGAGGTAATATGGAAAGCCATAAATACAAATTCGTAAACGTTACATATGACGGCCTCAGTGGTATAGCGGTTTAGCACCGCTTTACTTTTTGATAGTCGAGAGTTCGATTCCTGACACAATACGAACGTTTCAATTGAGTAAGATTGTTTGTATTCCCCTTAGTGTTAATTATATATATATTTACAAAAACAAAACAGGTTCAATTCCTCACACAGTATTAATGTTTGTATTAATTAGTATTTTGTATCATTGTTTGTATTCTAACTGTTTTCTATGTATATTATTTATGTAATAACAGAAAAAAGTATTTAAATGTTCATATCAGGTGTTTTGTACCCATAACACAAGCTCTGCTTATCTTGTTCTAGATGGCGCCGTGTGAAATGTTCAGGGTTATTATTATTATAATCTATTAAAAATCTTGATATACCCGTGTTAATGTACATAGTATCTATATAGTTATTAATATATGTCTTTATTATTATTATTATTACTACAGACGATGGTTACCACATATCATCAGCTAGTTTACCATTCCAGCTATAAAACAAAATACCAAGAGTACTCACCAGATCAGCAATATTGGCTACTTGAATGGCGTCGTGTACGACTTCCGACCTTGTGCTCCCGTTTCTACGGTCGAACATCGCTTTGTCGATCACCAGCGCGGTCTCGATGTACTTGGTGGTCTCCCGGACGTCCCTCCTCCGTCGGTTGAGGGCTCGGAGGCCAGTGTTGTGCCACCACCTCCACTCCCGGCCCTCTTTGGAACGGGTGCCGTCCCTGATGAAGCATAAATAAATAAATATACCGTCACGACATGTATCCTATATGGGTCACAAATAAAAAGATGGCATTTTTTTTTTAAACTTCATTGGTAGCAATCATGCATACGGCCCATCTGATGGTAAACGGTTACTGGAGCCTATGGACGCCTGAACACTAAGAGTGTCACGTGCACATTGCCGACCCTTAAAGTCCTTCTTGAAAAACCCCATGCTGTAGTCTCTCGAGATAATCATTACAATGTATTGAGTTTTAGAATATGTTATTCTTAGATGGTCTCGATGATTTAGCGGCACACTTCTTCTTGCTTCTACATCCTAAGGTCGCGGGTTCGAGTCCTCGCACGGTACAAACATTTGTATGTAGATTATAATTGTTTCTATTGGTGTTTACCTTATGTATGTATTTACCAAAAAAGAAATACATGCATCTAGTCCCAAGGTAAGCTAAATAACTGATACAAATTCTCAGACATATTTTGTTTTGTAAATGCATGTATAATATACATAGAAATCACCCGATACAAATAATCATCCTCATGAATACAAACGTTGTACCGTGCGAGGAATAGAACCTGTAACTATCGGAAGTAAAGCGGTGTGATAAACTGCTAGATCATCGAGGCCGTCCAATATATATACATATATTTATTTATTACGTTTTTATTTGTTTGTTGTTTAATATTATTTGAATTGTTTAACTATAAAGCAAACGTGTACAAAACGCTGCTGTATTTACTAAGCAATTTTATTTTTGCAAGAACAAGGCTGTACTAAATATTAGTTCAATAAACATTATTACTTATCCAATTTTATAGAAAAAAAACTACTAACTAGGAAACTCGAATATATTCTTAAAATTTATTTATTTATATAACTTTAATGCACACAGTATAAAAGTAACAGTACATTTGGCGGACTTAACACCATGCGGTATTTTCTACCAGTCAACCATAGGCAGTACAGAAAAAAATATATATTATATATGTATCTATAAACAGCGTCATCTAATCAAGTACCTGGGATATAAAGTTAGTTGTCTTTTTTTATTTCAGCGTCCAATATTAAGTTCCAAGACACGCAGCCCGAAGAAAGTAGCAATTAGGGAAACTGCCGCTGAATTACAAAAGAGCCCGTTTTTTTTCGGAGGGAACGCTTTAAAATACTTAATAGGCGAAGCTGTCTTGTCAGTTATCCTCCGTAATTCTACGAGTTGATCTCTAATCAAGTTATCGGGATACCGTCAGTCAGATCTTATTATAGACTATAAAATTTTCTCCGTACCAATTTCATCCAAGAATTATTACGGCCGCTTCCTTCAATTGTGATATTCATCAGAGATATTTTGGCTACTTTATCCATGGTAATAGTATAATTGTAATAGAAAAAATTACATTTTTACATATAAATAAAATTGGAGTGTCTGTTTGTAATATTAAAATAATCTTTTTTTATTACATGCATATGAATATATATACGGTACATACACCAAAATAACATTTTTTAGTATTTTTGTAGACAAAAATAGTAGACAAAAACCTCTGAAATGACTGAACCGATTTTGATGGAACTTTTTATATATATAGTGTTATAAAATATACTATAATAAATAATATATTATACATCATATATAAATCAGGATCTAAATTATATTAAAATCAAATAACGGTCGAGAAAAATTTCTTTCTTGGGAAAAGAGAATTCTTAGTATATGAAGCTAAATATACTCGTAAGTGTATATGATATAATCGTATATATAATATTGCAACATATAATCACGACTGTTATTTTAGACGAGAGAGAGACGAGAGAGACGAGAGAGATAGTTTTTTTTTTAAAGGATGATAATGGAATGGCTCCCCCGCCTGCGCTATCGGTTTACGCTGGCGGGGCACCAGTGGAGCATGATAGGATGAGCATGAAGTCAGATCAGTTAGCCCAACGCGACAAATTCACCGGGAATGTATCACGATGGTTTCCAGGGGGAACCGCGTGGAGGTCGATCTGACATCTCCCCTCGAGAGAGATAGTTGACTCTGCAGAGGCAGAGTCAAACTATCGACAGTCCTTTTGACATGTACATATTTCGCTAAGTATATATGAATCTAATGGGGCAAGGGATGAGTCTGACGAGTCTCGAATTTGTTTAGTCTGTTGTCCATATTTTGGATAGAAATTTAAGACATAAAAAATTATAGTTTAATTTTATGCATATTTGAACTCACGACATTAGTGACGTAACTCGAGACAGTAACCACTATGCCACTACCCTCTCACATAACAATCAAATATTATACACAAATCTTTACTCACGTATCACAACACAAGACCTGTAAACTGATAAGCTTACAAGTAAACGGAGTGTTGGAAACTAACATAGCTTCGAGCGACTTACAGCCAACGCTATGGAACATTTGCCCAGGATTGTATTTCAGAAGAAGGCTTCTGGATAATGTAATGAGAAAATTAATCCCCTTTGGGGGTTATTTTGGGAACGAGATTGGGATCGAGCGCATCAGATGAGCGGATCTATCAAGCGAGAATTGCGTCTTGTTGGATTGAAGACATATTGAAAGATTGACAATCTTTCCTGATTCGATATCGGAAAGTAGAAAAATATTTCATTTTGTTTGACGGCAGATCACTACTTAATGGATTTATCTTATTTTGTATAAAAACTAGTAAACACGTAGGAGATTTAAAATATGTTAAAATTGTATCGGAATTAAACAATATACCTAATACGAATCTTTTAAATGATGAAATCGTGGTCGGGTTTCTATTGAAAATCAGCGTCGTGGCTTTGGTCATGGTTTAATATAGATAAGTAAAAAGTAGACGATCTCGGTGGTATAGCGGTTAGCACACCGCTTTACGACCGATGGTCGCGGGTTCGATTCCTCGCACGGCACAAACATTTGTATTCATGAGTATGATTGTTTGTATCGGTCTGGGTGTTTTCTATATATAATATGTATGTATTTACAAAAAAAATCTATGTATATGTATCAGTTATCTAGTACCCATAACACAAGCTTTAGCTAGCTTAACTTGGGCCTAGATGGCGCTGTGTGAATTGTCCTGAGATTATTATATTATTATCATTATAAGTATAAGTAAGTATATATATTTTATTTTTTGTTTGATTATCTTGCTCTTTTTTATGTAATGTATTTAATGCATTGTATTATTTCCGTTTATATGCTATATGCTGCTGTAAGCATCATCATTGTTGTGTTGTGATGTATGATGCAATCAATATTATTCTATTCTGGACTTCCGCAAAGTAACACCTAATTCGATAAAATATGGCCCCAGATCTATTTAGTTTAGAGTATTAACCAATTTAGTTCTTAATATGGCTATTATTAAAAATTCGTCCTATTTGTTCGTCTGAATTAGATGGGGATTATAATATTAGTTACGGTGTCACATGATAAGTTGACTTCTGTGTTGCTGTTCATGTGTTTAAACAACAGTTACTACTTATGATCGAAGAGACTTTTTTCCATTTCAATTACTTTAACAAATAACAAATAGAAATATAATGTTTTATAGTTATAATATTTCTAATAACGCGCATTGTCTTCGAATAAAGAAGTTTTCCGAAAGAGTCGTCACAAAAGAACACTTCCAACTCTATTTCGGGTTTTATCAATTAAATTCCTCACAAACACTGCCCGGTTAATCGGTCGATTAAACATTTGAATCGAATTATTGGGCTCCACAACGACAGTTCGAAATGTCAAAGGCATCATTAGAATATACCCGAGGGATATCGAAGTCAAATGGGTGAGTTGAAAGAGCGAGCGTTATCTTTGAAAGCGATTTCAAATGAAGATAGAGATTTTTAAATTGCAATTCGAGGTACGTTTAGTTCGAATAGAAGCTTCAAAAATCGCAATTGCTTTTTGTCCTTAATTTGTCACGATGTAGATACTGATTGATAGCTATCCTTGAAAAGAGCTTTTTATACGACTACAATTTCAGTATACTAGACTTTCTGGACCTGGCTAATTTCTCTCTCTCTAATAATAATTCTTTTGATACCAGACTTACAAAAAAATTTTTAGATACACATTATATTCGGAAAAATTTCCACGTTTCAAATGCAGATTCACTCAAGAAAACTCTGCAAGGAACTTGTCAGTGTTTATTTGAACAAGTGTTTCATTGAGGTTTATCTACATAGACAACTCTGTCTAAACTATTTCTCCTAATAAACAGCTTTCTTTGTAAACTGAGTTTTGATTTTGTAACATGATGTATATGATGCTAGGTTATGTAGGCGATAGTTGTAATTTTACGTCAGATGACTCGACAGATTGTTTATCATTTAACTAATGCAATATCTACTATAAACATGCTGTTCCTTATGTACATCATTTAGTTTCATCACATAACATAAATATTGCACACTAGCCGTGCTCTCGACTTCATTCGTGCATAGACTTAATTATTAGAAAAATTAATGATAATAAGTAATACTTAAAACATCTATATGATGCCATCATATTTTATTTATATAATAGTAGTTGGCCTATTGAAAAATATAATAATTTCATTTTTTATAACGGTATTTATGTCAGCTTTCCTTAACCTATTTGTTGATCTATATTTATTTCTTATTCTGTGAAAATTTCGTAGATAGCTGAAGAGCTATTTTTGCTTGCACCCTTAATATACAAACACAGATTTTATTATTTGTATAAATGTATATCACAATATTTCACTGCTTCCAATGTCATGTAAGTCGCAAGTCGCAACCGATTCTGTCGATGAAATAAAATCTCGAACTTTCCTAAGGGATCTCCTAAGAGGTCGAATATTAAGGGAGCCTTTTCATCAGTCGGCGCCAACAAATTGGGTTCGACTGAATGATTTATGAGGTATAAGTGGTGCGAATTCGGCGCACAATACCCCCCGCCTTACGATTCTTTTGTGTAATGACCCCGGCTCTTGTATTATAAATATTGGGATTTATTTTCGATGCCGACTCCGCGGATGCGTGGAGGCGGCGCGTTGTTTGACAATTGCCGGTTCAGTGTCAATATGGATATCATATGTGATGGATGACGTCATTAGGAGTAAAATCTCTTTTGGTAGTTCTATATTATAGTAATCGTTATACTCCTAAGGCCTTCCCAGCCAAGTGGTTACATGGACCATAAAGTTCTTGTAAATCTAATCTTATTGGCATCTAAAATCCTTGTGAAAGGATATATGTAATTCTTATTGACTTTACAATAGTAGTACTCACTTCATTCTATGTCGGATTAAAAAATACCCAGCGAAAGTAAATTTTTAGGGAAATCATGCCCACGCGTGGAAACTAAGGATCTTGGACAGTGCCGTTTCAAAGGAGTTTCCTGTCGCGCACACATAGATTGTGGAATGAAGTACCTGCCGAGGCTTTTTCGAGATAATACAGGGTTTTTCAAGATGGGTATAATAAGATTTCTTAAAGGTGACACTCCTGGTGTTTCAAGCTCCATAGGCTACGGTAACCGTTTACCATCAGACGGGCCGTATGCTTGTTTGCCACCCTCATAGTAAATAAAGAAAAGTAGCATTTATCACAACCTAACAATTAACAGTGCCGCTTACTATTCATGTGAGATAAAAGAAGTAAAGATACATTATTTACGCAATTTACGTTCAAACTAGCTACGCACGCGGTTTCACTCGTATGAAACTTATAGCCAGTATTATTCTGATGTTACAAACCTGTAAAGTTTCATCAAAATCTGTTGTGTAGTTTTTGTGTTAATGTCACAAACACCCATCCAACCATATATCCATACATAATCACCGTCGCGTTTATAATATTAGATGAGATAGACAACGATTTAGCGGCAGCTGAACAAAATGCATTTCAATTTCCTTGCACAGACCTTACCGCAGACTGTGGTCACTTTTATTGACGGATTCAATTTACAATCAGCTTGGTATGGGCACTCGTTTAACCACTAATCATTGCAACAGCCTTTGATCAATTATTGCATATTGACGGCCTCGGTAGCCTAGTAGTTTAGGATACCTACTTCCAATGGTCGCGGGTTCGATTCCTCGCATGGTACAAATATTTGTATTCATGAGTATGATTGTTTGTAATGATCTGAGTATTTCTATGTATAATATGTATTTCCAAAAAGAAATCTCCACATTTATATCTATAAGATCTAATTAGCTTAGCTTGGGACTAGATGGCGCAATGTGGATTGACATATTAGCTGTATATGTAGATATATATTTTTTTTCATAAAATTTCTTATTAAGCTAAATATAAACAAATAAATATTTATTTAAATGATTTAATGCTTCGTTGATTAGTTTATCAATAATTAAATATACACAATTTCGCATCTCGATATTGCTACTCAATATACAGACGAATGTTATAAATTCGTTTTGAAAAATATAACGTTGCAATGAGAATACTTATCTTTACGTACATCTTTATTACGGGCATTGTGTATTGCTTCCTTAATTATATATGGGACCAAAACGGTATGTTTAATCCCTAACGATGTCTAATTATACCTCTTCCATGTTCCAGCCCGTCCCATTGTTCTCGGTTTTCTCGCACAAGTTCAAATAGAATTTGTAATGAAACATTATAATTATGGATCCGGTTGCGTAAAAAGGGTGAAAGTAATAGCAAAACTTTGAATCCGGTTCTTTTATCTCTTTCTTTCCCTTTTGAAATAACGACTGACGTGAATTACAGCTATTTATATTGGTATTTTGCCGTCCCACATAGTCGTGTACGCTAGAGACACACTCCTATCTCACTTATGTTCTGTCACTAGACTGCTAGCTACATTTTGGTAGGAAATAAGACTGAGGACCTGAGGAGTAAAGAGTATCACGTATCGCCGTGATGTGCTATAGAGGACGTCTTTCCATCATGTGGGTCAAAACGTTAATTACTGACATCCAAACTCTCCCATACTCACGCAACATACATATAATAACATTTTGCTTTCACCTATTCTGTCATTCTACGTTACACTACTACGTGACTCTATGTTACGTACTACGTTTTTAGTACGTATGTACTTTCACTCCTATACGTTACGGTTACTTTTTGTTTACCTCTAAATGTTTTAAGTTTATTTGGTTTAATATCAGCATCGTATTTTATTTGACCGATATCATATATACTTTAAGTTGGGGGTCTGCTGATATGTATTACAGATTATACCTATCTCAGACACCATATTCTCATGGCAATTGTTTATTATTGTAATTTTGCATTATATTATGCAAACATACATGTCATTGTATTTGTTGCTGTCCATGTCTATAAGGAGAAAATAAATAATTACTGTAATAAAATGTACTCACATGGTCCCAGGGTCATCACCGAGCGGCTCCTCAACGAACGACACGTGCTTCGTTCTTCTACTCTTGGGCCTGAACTCGAGCTTGTTGGCGCAGCCCTTGTTCGCCTTGGTCCTCGCCTCGAAGATCACATGTGGGTGTTTCTGCTGAAACGAACCGACATACACGTGTCCTTGTTAATTATTGTGGTAGTTACAACTTATATATACGTCTGAGATCACATTAACGGAAGGCCGAGGTAGAATTTGTGAATGTAACTATTTTTAACTCATCTCCATTATTCTTCAGGGCTTCTACTCTGGAGAGAGAATCAGATTTCAATTTTAATTTAAACTATTTTGGTACTGTTCTTTTGAAAGGTAATCAAGATTAAACTGAATAACAATGTTATAAATTAATTAAATTCAATAATAATGTTAGTTAGTGCTGTCGTAGAACACCAAATAAGGACTTATAAAGTATTTCTGAGTATAAAAAGATGCAAAATTGCTCAGTCTAATATATTTGGATCAGAAATAGTTCCCAAATTACACAAGTTAGTTTTGCCGTTACATATGTCTATAAAAATCTGAGCCGTAATTCAAAGCTTTTCTATATGAGATCAACGCATTACTTTTCTTTTGCGCCTAGCGATTAATATATGTATAATTTTCCCACCTACATCATTTCACACCAGTCATTGAGCTTCTTGACGTTTTCAAATTATGCAAATATTTTAATTAGCGTTTTATTTATCGCTAAAAAACTGTCATTATCTATATATTCATGCCTAGTCACTTCCAAGACAAACAGTGTAATAAAATACTACTACAGTATTTTTTTAATTATATAACTTTTCTAATTTAATCTGTGATATTGTAATTCATATGAACGAAATTGAATTAATTTCATTTTAAATTACGAAGTAATTTTGTTCGTATATTAAAGGTAATATAATTTAAATTAACTCAAATTTATCTCGTAATTTATGAAGGTCCTGGCTGAAATACGTCGCCATGCTAATGTTATCCTACTCAAATATCCTTATGTATAAATGAGGCACGATATAAACAGGACGGAGGGGTAATAATAAACTCCACAGATAAAATCAACGGTCAATAAATGTCAAAATAAATGCATGACACTTGATGATTATCTTCCAATTTATCGCCTCTATCTGTTGGATCATGAGTGAAGAGGCGAATCATGTTAAAAGTTCTAAAGTTTACTTATTTTGGTAATAATAAACTCCATAGATAAAATCAACGGTCAATCTTTTAAATGTCAAAAAAAATGCATGACACTTGATGATTATCTTCCAATTTATCGCCTCTATCTGTTGGATCATGAGTGAAGAGGTTATCATGTTAACAGATTTCTCTAAAGTTTACTTATTTTCAGGGGGTTTAGATGCATGCGTTTTTCGAATAATTTTGGGACTGAGAAAAAGCTCAAATTGATTTTGATTTCGAACTATTGTAATGCTGTTAGCCACAACTGACCTTTATCAAACCTTTGGCCAAGCGATAGGGGACGAGTGCAGATGACAGTCCAAACCCGTGAAAGAACTTATGGTATGGCTGAAGGCCAACTTCTACCCGACGGATACGACTTAAGTCTGAAAGCACCGTTAGGTGTTCGAACCTCGTTTCAAGCCGTCATAATTTCGATCCCCGTTTAAATTGGACTGGGGATCGATCGGAGGGATAAAGTTGGATGGAAGCAAACGATTGAATATATGTACTTTATACGGAATCCGATAGATCAGCCCTACCAGTGGAGTCGTTCGTAGATGCCTCAAAAAGATCCTTTATGCCCTCTAAGTGACACCAAAAATTCTGCTCTATATTGTCTCCTTGTAAATTCAAAATCGAATGTGACACTAATGTCTTTAGTGTCCCAGACGTCCTTGAATTTGTTGACTTATCGCGGGTCATTGTCGCTTGTCAACGTCGAGAAAATCTTATTTAAGGTCTAAATTATCAAAACCCTAAGCAGAGTTTCGATTATTGTTATTAGTTAATTTTTTTTTAACTTATATATCATTTTTTTAGCTTAATTGGTTCTTAATTGGTATATATGTTAAACTTGGTTTTAAGGTTTTTGTTTTCACATACAGGATTGCCTCAAATAAGAATAATAATATCTTAGAACGATGTAGTCCATCTACATAAGCGCCATCTAGCTGTATCGTGCGAGGAATCGAACCCGCGACCATAGGAAACAAGGCGGTGTGCTCAACCGCTGACCACCGAGACCGTATGTTCAAATAAAACAACACAACACACCACTCCACAATTCCTTCCAAGCACTCAACGGTTGACTGAAGAATCGGAAGATATTTACTTTTTAAATCATATGTGTATATAATTTAGAAATTAAATTTGTACCATGGAAGACGTACCCAAAAAGAGGGACTCGTTGCTACACAAAAGTTTAAAAATAATAATAAAAAATTGTTTGTTAGTTTATGATTCTTTTTTGTATTATTTTTTTTAAACTTTTGAGTTTATTGCACATTGTGTAAATATATTTTTTAATTTTTCGAGTTAAGATCCGGTAAAAAATATAAATAACGTATAAACTGCAAGGTTTTCATTTCCACCACCATTTCAGATCTTGGATTCAATTCTCAAAATGGCGCTGACACGATATTTTCCCTCCTAATTGCTCTGTGATTGGTATTGTTTTATTATTCGCGAAGAGTATTTTGAATTTCGAATATTAAATATTCGTTTATACCTACCCACATTGAATTGATCCAATTTCAATTTAAAACAACAAAGGTTCTATTTGAATGCCTATATTTTGTCGACTGTTTTTCTTTTTTTTTTTCCTTGGAACGAAATCGGGAGCAAGGGCCAAGTCGATTGAAAACAAACATTTAGATTATAAACAAGTTTGTTATTATTATCAACTAGTAGACTGAAGAGACGTTGTTGTACCTATTTAAATTTTAATAATTTTATTCTGTTGTGAAATACTTTCTTTTATGAAGTTTACTTAAAAATTCTCATTTTAATCTATATACATATATATTTACTAGATGTAACTGACGACATTTTAATAGTCCTTTCTAACCTGTTTTATAAAATTCATATTAATATTATAAATGCGAAAGTGTATCTACATATATATAGGCCTGTCGCCTTTCACGATTAAATGCCTAAACGAGTCTACATATATAAAATTCGTTTTAAAAATAGAATATATCACAATATATAGATAAATTCGGTAATAGGTAATAAATCTAAATGTCAAATTTTAGTTTTCTAGATATTGTAGTTTTATATGTATAATAATAATGAGTACATGCCGGGATCTTACCACGTTTTATTTTTATTCAATTCCCGATATTTAGGGAAGATTTTAATAGAAATGTATTGTATAAAAAAAAATGTTAATATCCCGTGATTTACTAATTTGACAGCGTTTTACCTATGTTTATTCAATAAATTTTATGAATACTCTACAAATTCGAAATAATGGATTGTGAAATAGAAACTGAAAAAGATGGAATAAATTGAAAAAGATCATATTTTTAGATAAACTCAGTATTTCATGATATACGTTAATAAAATGTTAATAATTGTCAGTGTGGCCAGACGAGTGTATAAATAAATAGTTTTTATTCAGTGTTACCCGCACAAAATACATAATAAAAACAAAATTGAACAGCGAATCACGTCCGCGCCGTGAAAGGTTTCGCAGTTATAAGAGATGAAAGCGTTCATAATTCTTTCAAAGAAACCTGAGCAGTGTGCGCGATTAAAAAAAATATATTGGAGTTTTTGGGTTCATTCGTGTATGATTATTCAAATACTGCTTCTGTACGAGTTTATTTCTAGTGTACTTTTCGTTTAAGAGGCTTTATACAACCAGCCCTACAATATTACTTGGTACTTATTCACTTGTGATTGAATTCGTTAAACTTAAGTGTATGTGGATGCGAAACGATTACGAAACCATTTGAATGATGTACGGATTTGAATATATTCATTTTTAGATTTGGTTTTTGTGGTATATCAATAGCGCGTACATTAAGCACTTTGCTTAATACTTCGCTAGCAACGGGGACGAGAGTCCGGGGGGAGCGGGAGGACGCGATCGACCGGTGACATTATTATGAAGCCTATATACACGCGAACATAACGTAATAAAAAATTGTATTTATCTTAAATCTTTAGAAAATAAATAAGTACGTAAATTCATCTTAATTTCAATCCGTAATATTTGTATAACTACGTACAAAACTTATATCAAAATATCTTTAGTAGAGCTAGTACATGTTTACAAAAATATAGGTAGATTAATTTTTTAATTCAAATTAGGGAGAATAGAGTGATATCCAGTATATGCTATTGCATTCTAATCAGTGACCTTAACCCGTTTCAATACGTAATGCGTAACCAGTTTTTTTATTAATTATTTTTTATAACACAATAAATGCCCTCCGATGTTTTATTTTTGTTGTCGTCTTATTTATCATCGATAAATATTTAGACGCGGATACATTTGTAGTCTAATTATTATATAATATATCTAAGTTATTTAGTATTTTACCTCAACTGAACTTGCCGCATACCCACTCAATTACTAATAATTGTTCAAATGTTATTCTAGATTGTGTTGCTTGTTTGGTAATCAAAAAATCATTTGTTGGTATAGTTAAAAAGTAAGTACAGTAAGTTGTAATATAATTTTACAACTTAGTAAAGTAAGTTATAATATGATTTGTATGCTTGTCATAAATTTAGCATATAAGTAATTTATTATATTATATACGGCCCTGTGTATAATTTTGTAAGTCATTGTTGTTTTTAATAATAAATATATAAATATTCTAATATAATTACAGTTGCATATGAATGACTAAATTTAATTTGTAACATTGTATATATATTATATGTAGATATTTTATCAGTTTATAAATATTATTTAACTGGTAACACTGAATTAAATCAATTGGACAGTTTATTGAAACGAACGCTGTAAAAATTCTTACTTACATAGTGTAGACGGAGAATAGAGTCGACCATTTACTTTTTATAACATTTTGTCTACTTTTCCTTTACTGCTCATAGTTTACAAACTTTTTTACGGGACACCGCTGTGGTGGCGCCACTGTGCAATATGGCGGCGGTCAAAATGAAAAATGGCGTCAATT